CGTGTAATGCCGTGTCATCGAGAAGTGCTCAACAATAACCCAACATCCAGTTTATCTCACACTTAGGTTACTAGCGACAATTACTAAACCAAGCTCCAGTGGCTATTAGAAAGACAAATCTGTTCAAATTTTACTGCAAATTTGCATTTTTCATTTCTGCTTTTTAATGAAAAATCCCAGCCTTGGGGCAATAGAGAAGACTACAATTTAAGAGCTTGGTATTTAAAACTTAGTAGCTTTAGCTTTTAAATCTCTTGAGTACATTCATGGTCTTAGACTTGGAGTAAGCCAGACTTCCTAAGGAAGATGTTGAACATAGCCTTTTGGGAACCTGCATAAGGTCCGTTCTGCTAAGAAAGCATTTATACTAAATGCATAAGAAGGCATTCTGAAAGTAGATGGCTGAAAGAACTAATTACTAGTACTAGTGATTAATATTTTCAATAAAGGAAGGTACTCACCAAAGCTAAGCAGTCACACATCTTGATTTCTGACTTTAAACACACAGCCTGTAAAAGCTGTTTGTTTCCCTATTCACCCAACAGAACACACTAATTGACATGAAGAACTGTATCAGGGAGGCATCCTAAACCTATAGGGACCTTAGGAAAATGGATTATGAAGGGCTTTTCCTCAACACACACTGAGCCCTAAGTGTTGACCTATTTCCTTGGCACTCTGCAAATGCTTCCTCTTGCGAACAGCCTGGGGGCAGGCAGTATTTATGCAGGTCCAAAGGGAGATTCTGAACCCTCGGGATGCAAATGCTTCCTTCTCTGGTCCCACCTAAAACACCAGATGTAAGACCCCAAATTATCTTTACTTCTGAATTCTGAAGGTGTACTCAGTGCTTTAACGGGTGGGGCAGAATTAGATGAGAACTTGACAGAATGGCAGGTGATTCACAGCAGCACTGTCAGACTACTTTTCTAATCCTCATGCAAGTGAATCCCTCCTAAAGGACTCACGGAAAAACTTTCCAGTGCAAGGCATCTATTTTGGATATTTTTACATCTATACAATCGAAAATAGAAAATGAACACAATTCTTATTATCTTGCAAGGTGGCCCCTACTAAGGATACCTTTGGAGAGGGAGGGTAGTGGTGGGAAGGGCAAGGAAGCCAGTTGCTATACTTGTTCTCTGACAGGCAGTGCTGACGGGCCAAAAATGAGGCCAGGGCAGCTGGAGAATACTGGTGGAGCGAGCAAGTCTGCTCGGTGTCTTAACTATAACGTACGTGAAAAGATAACTGGAGGCCACGACACAGAACTCTCTCAAGAGGGCCGCTTATATATGGCACTCCAATAATAGGTAGGTGACTCCTTAGAGGTTCAGTTCCATGAAGCTTTTTCTTTGTAAACTTGTAAAGTGGCCAGCTTTGTTACTAATTACACATAAAAATAGGGTTTCTGTATTCCACTAGGTTAATGGAAAAACAAGCAATGTGAGAAAAACCCACTACAATGAAAAACTCTATTTTCAGATATAAAAAAGAAAGTATTTGCCATGACATGGATTACTACCAAATGGGATTTCCCATTTTAATACCCCTGAAAGTCAGTGATTTTGCTTACTGGTGCACCTTATAATACATGTATACATGTATAAGGTGCACCTTATAATACATGTATAAATACAATCTTTGACTTGATGAAATGCAGTATATTCTAATATTGATGGAGCACAATGAGGTCACTCCTCGTTTTCAGACAGCTAAAAGCATTCCCATTCTACTCTCGAGTTCCGTACATCTTAATAGAATGCCTTTAAAATAATCAACTGATTTTTATATGCGTCTAACATTTGTTTTATGGAGGCAAGTTTCTTAGTATGGTTTAAAAACATTTCCCTTGAGATTCTACATCCCTAAAGTTATTAAATAAAACCTTTTATGTAACCCCAACTTCAAACTTGGAGGTATACAGATGAATAAAAATTTAACTGTCAATTTTTTACCTACCTAAATTTTTACCTACCTAAATTATCAGATTACAATGAAGCAGTTCAAAATACTGGTAGCTATGTAATATTTTGTTAGGTGTATTCATGTAGCTAAAAATACTTGAAAATCAAATTCAAACGGTGCAATCCAACTGGAGTGTTCTGAACTGCGGAACACTAGTTTGTTAAATATTAGTCTTCTGTTTTTAAAAGTACATAGAATCTCATGAAAATCTGGGATGTGCGTCTTCAGCAGCAGTCCTTGAAGTAACTCGAACTTAGGGAAGGACCAACAGGTTTCTACATAAGTCGTACTTCTTTGGAACATAGCAACAAAGAATTACTTTTCAAATACTAAAAAGCAGAGCAGATGGAATCTGCTAGAGAATTAACTGAATCTCCACTTCTATAACTCCCCTCAAAAGGTGTGACCTGCTTTATTTCTGATTATGTAAATGAACTTTGAAATACCAAAGTGTCTGCCGAATCTTGGTTTTAGAATGAACGGTTAAGCCAGCAACTGGAATCACAGCTCAACTTTGGAACTGCTCAGATGTGAAGATACTCTGGATAGAAGGCCGGATTCCTGTACTTATAAACATTTCCCTTTTTAAGTTCCCTTCAAATCTATTACACCTCTAATTTACCTTCTGTTTAGAAATCTTATTTTAACAAATAAAAGGGAAAACCCAAATTTAATTTATAAAGTTTTATTTTTGTATGTGCTAAATCTTAGGAACTGTGGACAATCTTCAGTCAGTCTGTTGGCTTGTAAAAGGCTGAGAAGTGTGTGATCTGGGTGGTGAAATTTCCTTTAGGGAATCTGGATTTCAAAATAAAATTTCACTCATTTGCAAGTTTAAAACATGGCGCACCTTTCCCCCTTTTTTCTTACACCTATAAATTTGGAGGAAAAATGCTACATTTCTGCGAACGTAAAATAATCATTATAAATACAATCGGCAGAAAGTTCTTAATACATTTAGCACTCCTGTAGTGATTTATCACACTCAAAATCTTATTTTCAAACACTAAACACTCACGTAGGTGCAGGACCAATTTTGGTTGAGCCCTACCATGAAACCAGTACTGAATGGTTTTTTCTCAGTAACACGAAAACTGCAGGGAGGGGGGTGTTGTTTTACTTTCTCAGCAGTTATGTAGTACTTTCAAACTAGAGACCAAAATTGGGCACTTACAATGAAAAGGCAATTTGCTTGTCCAGTTATAATTCTAAGGCAGGATATATCCACCAAATTAACCACAAAATTCAGCGAAGAGTTCATGGGAGAACATAAGCTGTAAAAATACTAAGAAAAAACTGAAAGTAACTATTTTGGAGTGGTCATATGAATATTCAGACTGTTGCTTCCACTTACAAATGTAATTCAAATAAAAAAAGGCTCTTCATCTTTTTAACCACTACTAGGATTAACTACTTATCATTCACTAATAAAAGTTAATCATGAAAAAAATATAAAACATTTTAATAATTCTAAACTTGTATTCATAACAGCTGAAAGACACAAGGTTGGGAAATTATCATTGAAAGAAAAATTAACAAAAGACAAAAACCCCAAATGTGATTATGTTCTTATTTCTGCCTCTACAATGCTGAACATGAAAATTTGGTTGGTGGAGGGCTTAGAAACAGCAGCAATATGGTTTCTACCAAGTTGTGCACTGAAATACTTAGAGCCACAGGGCAAAGCCCTTGTTCACACAGATTAACAACAAAAATATCTTCAGTCTTTGTGTTAAGAGATTCTACTGTCTTCTACAAAGTAATCATGCCATTTAGAATCCTGGGGGTACTTCTCTGATAGGAAGACTAGCGATTCTGCAACAAACATTTAAAGTAGGAAATATATATATGGCTCAAGAAATCAGTTGAGGGAGAATTAAATAATCTTTAGGCACTTTGAAGACTTGAAGTTTAAAATGTGCCATTTATGTTCAAAAAAAGACCTCAAAATCACCACTATGTTGCTCTTACAATAACATGCATCTTAAAATTTCCGGTTATACATTAATGCTTCCTTAAGAGTTAAATATAGAAAATAATTTGCACAAAAAAACAAAAATAACTCTCTCCGTTCACTTTCCCTTGATCCTGGTCACAACACAGACCATGTTCCTCAAATGGAGGGGAAAATGATTCACAAGCCCTCACCTGGCACAAGGGGACTCATAAATTCAAAGCAACCAAGGTGGGATCTCCCTCCAAGGAGAAAAGTTCACAGCCTTTTAAAAATGTCAAGTTTTCCATATCTAGGAAGTCAGTCAAGTTTTTAAATTAAGTACATCACATACTTTTGTTAAGGAGCAGGAAATAGAAAAATCACCTCTCAGATGGTGAGATGATATATTTTATGATAGCAACTTGTCCAAATAAAGTTAACCTTTTTTTGCTCCTTGTTAAGGATGCTTGAAATTGAGGAACTTTTAAATTAAAATTACCAACTGGAAAATTGCAAACTGTGTGTACAACTTTCGCTCAAACGTAAACTCAGATGTAATACACTTAAGGTAAAAACAGGATCTATCTGGTTCAAAATTTACTAATGTTACAGAAAACCTAGAAGCATAGATTGACTAGAGTACTGCAAATAAGATACCCAAAGCTTTATCTTAAATACCTGCCCCTTTTAATCACAAAATAATGCAATTCTCAATTTTGTTTCTGCTTTGTTCAGATCCAACTATAGCCTTATTGACAAAACATTTTCCTATTAACTGAATTGTAAAAAATACAACCAAGCTTGTGCTCATTAAATATACACGTATATAAAAAACATACAAAAAGTACAAGATTGATTATGTTAGGAAACTTTTACAGTGTTAACATCCTGTTTTCTCTAAATCTTTAGTCAAGGGCAAAGGTCAAATATTTCTGTGCACAGAAACTCAGTGTGACTGAACTCCTGAAAATTCAGTGTCATGCCTAGGCACGCTATGCACAGAATTCATTTTAATATGCAGTCCTTCAGGAAAAAGAAAAAAACAAAAGGACAAAAAAGTAACCAAAAAACCAAAAACACACCACAGGACAAAAAGTTCTTCTTAAATCAAATTCTATTTGTGAATTCAGCAAAATAATTTCTATAAAATAAAACAGCAAAATATTTAAATAGAATACGGTGGACTGTATCTGTTTGCAGGGGGTATTTGGTTTTTAGACAGGTTCCAAAAAATTACACACATTCAAGTTACCAATTTTCTTTTAAATACAGTATTAACTGAGTTCCCTATCTTTAATTAAATGTTTATTCTGAAATTATGATACCTCAATGATATTAACTAACTAGTAGTTTCCTTTTTAATTAGACCCTGCTTCGAATGTTAAAATTTTTGGAATAATGGAAAAGGAGCTAGGACAATTCTTGCTTTCAAGTAAAATTGTGACTGAGCAGAAACTCAGCCAGACATCTTGGTGCAATGGTACTCCAAGTACTGTGGGATTCTGATGACTTCCACTTCACTGGGATCCAGCAGAAGGAAAGTTTTAGAAGATTCACCTAATAAGCTCTACCAAAGAAACACAACAAGCACACCAAATACAGTCTTCTATTATGCTTCAAGCATCCTGGCATAGCAAATTTTTGCATATTTGTTTTAAATCTTTTAAAATTCCCATTACTGATACTTAAGTTTCTTTATCCCACCCAGAGAGTGAACTGTCAAACATTAGATGTAAGTAACACATGTGTAACTGAAAACCGCCTGTTTATCACATTTCTCCCCTTGTTTTATATTTTATATTCTAGGTGTAAGAAGGAAAAGCTCTGAGCAATACAGCTGTCACACTGGGACAACTGCTGTCATTATGGTAATTTTTTTCCTCACTGGCTACACTAACCTGGTGTGAAGCCATGCTAAATGTTACAGCATAACTATAGCTTCAAAGTGATTAACCTAATATCAGAATAAAAAGGCAATGAAAAAGATCTAGAAACAATGTTACATCACCAATTTTCCACATCAACCAAATAATTTAAAGGTTACCAGCCTTACATTGCTCATAGTAAAACTGACTCCAGTGGCAAAGAATTAACATGAAACTGTTGGTGTGGTTGACATGGATGGGCTCTGTTTTGTTGCTGTTGGTTTATTTTTTGTTTTGTAAAGGAGTTGATCCAACTGCCACGAGGCAGGCAACACTGGTTGCAGAGTGCAATGGGTATAACAAGAAAATTAACTTTTGTAGTTTTTGTAGATTTGTGAGTCTCATCAAGAAAAAAGTTTCTTGCTTAAGAATTAACAGTCAAACATTAATATACTATATACACCTTTGCCATTTACACATTAGCATCAGGCCATTTATTACAAAACACTATACACTTTCCACTGCAGGCGGGTTATATATTGACAGCAAATTTCTGCAGATAAGACAGTGAATAAACTCTCCACTCCATGTTGATTAGGAATAGTTTTTCTAGTTTTAAATATTAGCCAGACACAGAAAAAGGTTGGACTGTAAGGCCTGGGTGCACAGTCTTGATGGAACCAGTTAATTATGTGCATTTCACTGATCCTTTGTCTGAGGTGGGGATACTTCTTCACTGCCTTCATAATTTTCTTGTGCTCGTTGGCCAGTTCTCTGAGGGTTGTTCATGTGGTGTGCTGCTGGGCCTGTATATGGCTGTCCATGCACATGGTTATTCTGGGAGGGGAGAAGAGATCTGCATGTTAAAACTTTTCATGTATTAAACTTAATCACAGGCTGAAGTTTGTGGAAATGCAAACATTTCTTTTATTCTTGGGACTTACAAAGAATAAATATACTTGGGATAATGGTGGGGAAAAAAAAAATAATTGGTTTCAAAAGAGAAAAGCTACCCTAAATGCAAACTCCAAAGGCCCAAATAAGAGCAGTGTAGGTCTGTATAAATCTTTGGCCAAAGTGATTTTTAGTGCCAAAAATTATTTAGACCCAAGTTTGACAAACAAGGGATCACAGCTCATGGTCAAAAATATTCAAAAAAAAATGATATGTGAGCTAGAACACATCTATTCCAACTCTTCCAGGCACCTTGAAACTTCCATATGATAAATCTGATTGATTGAGCATATAAAATCTGCATAAGCAATAACTAACACAGAATGATGTTAATGAAAACAAAATAATGTTGAAGAAGATAATGGATTAACCAGGCATGATTAATAATATATGAGCTTTCTCAGGGCTGAGGAAAGTAACATTTCCCCTTGAGGATTTGGTTCCATAACCTTTTATAATCCCTGAACCCGCACTTTTCTGTACATTCTCACCAGCCAAGCCAAGAAGATTTTGGGCTTTACTTTCTATAATTCGTATTATGAAAATAAATATGTCGAATATGCATTTTCTAACTACTCAGCATGCTTCAATTTCCACCCTGAAATATAAGAAAGAATACCTTAAATAATTATTTCTCAAAGTATGGCTCCAGACTAGCAGCAGCATCCCTTGGGAACTTGTTAGAAATGTAGAATTTCTGGTCCCATCCCAGAACTACTTAGTCAGAAACTCTGGGGTGGGACCCAGAACTCTGTGGTATAACAAACACACCAGGGGATTTTGATGCTCAATCAAGTTTGAGTACCACCGCCTCAAAAGATCTGCATTAGATGTGCAACTATGACATACAACTATCTACTGGGGCTTTGGGGGAAAAAAAAGGAGGAGGATTGGCAACAGCTGTTAGCTCAGAGCCGGTCTTCCTCAGCAAAATGAGGAGGATTAGCACGGATGTTAGCTCAGGGCTGATCTTCCTCACAAAAAAAAAAAGATCTGCATTAGTCACGTCTCGGTTTTAGAAAAAAAAGTCCTCATTTAGAAAATTTCTTCATGTAAATTTTATTTATTTAGTTATTGATCTTACAGGAAATTTTATAGAAATCTGTCAAATCCTTGATTTTTTTCAACAATTTTTGTCATTGAAGTCTTAGGCTAAGTAACCAAGAACTTCTTCCTTCATTGCCACATCTTAATGTCTACAGAATCCATTTGCAGATTTAGCCTAACAGAAAATGTTATCATAATCCTTTGTACTAAATATTATCATTTTATGTTGACATGAATTATCACAGTTTTACTAACTTTAACTACTAGTACAAGAGGGGCACCTGTTTGACAAGGAAAACACCACAGGGGCAAGTTCAAACACACCACACTGTGATCCCACTCTAACCATTCCTCTTTTGATCATGCCCCCAAAGCTAGTTTAGATAATCCCTCTATTATTTTACAGTCACAACAAAAAACTTAGCCATCCTTTAAAGCAAGCATAAAAATTGGTTCTAAGGGATAAAAACACAAACCGATCCCTATTTACCTGTTGATACTGAGATCCAGGTGAATGGGGGTATAACGGGGCATCTTCAGGTGGAGGTGACTCATGCTCATCTGGGGCATCTTGGTCATCTGGTTCCTAATTTAAAATATTTAAAGATCAAGAATTACGTAGGCAAATTCAAGTTTATTTTTATTTTTTTTTGTATTTGAAATAAATGTTTAAAAAAAATCTACAAAACTGACCCACTAACAACTTTTCTTTTACTGCAGATAAACAAATTAAAGCAACTGAAAAAAACCTAACTTGGGTTCTCTTAGAAATACTACATTTCAGGCAATTTCACAGAAATTTCTCTAAAAGAAGGCTCCCTCATTAACTTAAGGCCATATATAGTAAACATTAAAACAAACAAAACTTCAACATAATTTTTTTTTACATTATCTTTAATACATAAACACTGGCCTATAAAGTAAAGAATTACTTTGCTTTCTTCCATTTCTATCTGCTGCACACTGGTGGCTTTTTTTACCTCCTCTGGACAGAGTTCACAAGCTTTTGCAAGTGTCATCCTAGCACTATGTGATCTCTCCAAGAAATAACCATTTGATGTTTCATTGCTTTGCACCGGAGGAGACCAATTGTTGTAAGTGTATTGAGGATTGCCAGTGTATGGTCGTCTTTCAAGTTCATCTCCAAGCCATTCCACTGCCCAGGTCCACTTTCTTTTAAGATCTCCATTGCCCTTCAAAAGAAAATGAAACTATATATGTAAAAGGTTTCAGAATACTCTTCAAAGTTAACTTAAAACGACAACTCCAAATTCTCACGATTCTCTTCTCTTAAAACAGAATCTTTAATTCTTAAGGTTTTTTTTTTTGTTTTTTTCCCCTAAAGCCCCAGTAGATAGTTGTATGTCATAGCTGCACATCCTTCTAGTTGCTGTATGTGGGACGCGGCCTCAGCATGGCCAGAGAAACGGTGTGTCGGTGCACGCCCAGGATCTGAACCTGGGCCGCCAGCAGCAGAGCGCGCGCACTTAACTGCTAAGCCACAGGGCTGGCCCAGAATCCTTAATTCTGATTCAGATTTCTACAAATTTATTTAAAAAAAAAAAAACCCTCACCTGTAGAATCTGGTAAGCAACAGGACAATTGCTAAAGAGAGCTACCATACATTTTATACATTGGTATGCTCTTTTTTGATAGTGATTCTTAGAGCGCTGGATTGTGTCAAATAGCCCATCTCGGTCATCTGGGATTCCTTTAAGTGCATTATGAATTCTGAAAGAGAACCAGATTATAAAATAAAAACTTCTAAAATCAAATAGCCGCTAACATTTATTGATTGCCTACTAAGAGCCACTCAATAAATGTCTTTGGTGTAGTCACGTAATCTAATGCTCGACAGCAGATACTGTTATTAAACCCTTGAACAGATAAGAAAATGGGTACGGAGAGGTTAAATAGCTTGCCCAAGGTCATATAGCTGCCTAGCAGTCTGACTCAGGAGTCTGTGCTCTTACCAACTTATTACCAATACAAAATGATTTTCCTATATATTTAATTCAAATACATTACCAGAAGTTAATTCAGGACACTAAGAGTAATACCAACTTTTAAAATTAAAGTTAACAACTGAGTTTATGGCCGTTGTACTTGAGAAGAATTTGCTTCAAGTCAGTTCCTTTTATAAAACTGCATTTCTGAAGGTAAGTTAGGATCCAGTGACTATGAAAAAGTAATATAATTGGAAAGTATACAATTTCTTGTTCTTGCCCCTCTAACAAATAATTTAAAAAATGACTGTAGGGGCAAAAATGTTCCTAGTTTCTTTTTTAAAAATATCACCTGACAGTAAACAAAATGTGGTACATACACACAGTGGAATATTATTCAGCCTTAAAAAGGAATGAAATGCTGACACATACTACAACATGGATGAGCCTTGAAGACGTTACGTTAAGTGAAATAAAACAGACACAAAAGTACAAATATTGTACGCTTCCACTTACACAAGTTACTTAGAACAGGCAAAATCAGAGAAAGAATAGTGGTTACACCAGGGGCTGAGGGGAGAGAGGAATGAGGAGTTATTGTTTAATGGGCATAGTTTCAATTTGGGATGACAGAAAAGTTCTGGGGATAAATAGTGGTAATGTTTGCACAACACTGTGAATGTACTAAAAGCCACTGAATTGTATACTTTAAAAATGGTTAAAATGGTGAATTTTATGTTAAGTGAATTTTACCTCAGTAAAGAAACATTACCTGTACAGTCAGTAATTTAACAAAAATATCTTATGTACACCATATATTTTACTTAATAGAATGTTCCAAATCAAAACGCAAGTACTTTTTTGCATTACATTCATAAAATCTTTTTTGTTTGGAAATTATTACTTCTGTAATTTTGCAAAGTTTAATTATCTCAGACCAAACAATCAACCATGTAGAGGCTTCTTGCTGTTTAATCTGAAACACTGCAGTCACTGTATATTCTGTTTTTACTTTCAGTTTTGTCAAGCGATAATGGAGTGTACGCCATTATTTCCGCCATATCATGTTTTCTTCCCATTAGTATTAACTGGATTTGACTGCCGTTTTTTCAATATTATCTTTGCCTGCCTTGTTCCCCAATGCCTAGCAGTGCTGGGCACATGGCAGATGCTCCATAAATATATATATATATTTTTTGTGAGGAAGATCAGCCCTGAGCTAACATCCGTGCCTATCTTCCTCCACTTTATATGGGATGCCGCCACAGCATGGGCTGACAAGTGGTGCGTCGGTGCCCGCCGGGATCTGAACCAGGGCCACCAGCAGCAGAGCGCGTGCACTTAACCACTACGCCTCGGGGCTGGCCCCTCCATAAATATTTGAACACTGCTTATTCAATGAACTAAAAGCTTACTATGAGTAAATTATTTTGAAGCTTGGGCCAAGGGATTCATAACAACATAATAATCTTACTAATCTCATTACACAAATCAATTTCCCATATTTAATCCAGCATATGTGCCTTTACCATTATCACTTGCTCTAATGAAACAAGATAGCTAAGATGTGACTAATAGGTTTAAAGATATACATGCTTAAAATATTTTCTTAAAAAAATAGTAAAACATTCCATTAAAACCAACTCTTAAGAAAAGTTTCAAATCCTTTGATCATATTGAGAAAGCTGCTGGATAGTGCTCAAAATAAATGACTATAGTTTTGAACTACCAAATTTTGTGTCTCACGAAAATTGATTTCTGGTTTAATGCTATTTTTACAACATTAATTTGACTATTCAAAATCTATGATGGTAATTGTGGAGATAATTTGAAAATATTAATTCATTAATTCTGGCATTTGCAATCTCCACTAAGATTCAAGACTGTAATTTCTCTTTAAGCATTTTGTTGTTACAGAACTTGATTTGAAGTTTCTGTTTTAATTATTATATTGACAGATGGGAGGCAGTCTGTTATACAGATTTTAAATTGTTTCCCAAAAAAAACTATTATACTTTCGTTCACATGGGGAGGGAAGCTATAAAATCTGCCAGAGCTGTCAACTAATTCCATAGTTTATCATCATTTATATAACTCTTGGGATTAAAGATAATACACTAAGCTTTTACTGTAAAAAAACAAATAAGAGGAACTCTGGAAGAAGCCTGAGGGATAGTCTTAGTTCTTAAAAAAAAATTACACTCGAAACTTCTCATATACTAAAAAACTAATGATAGTTGATGCTCATTATTCAGATTCCATATTTGCGAATTTGCCTACTTGCTAAACTTTATCTTTAATGGCAAAAATCAACACTCAAGGTGCTCGTGCGGTCATGTGAACAGTGGCAAAAAATGAGTTGCCCAGCATGCATGTTCTCAGCTGAAGTGGAACAAAGTGATACTCTGCTTGTTTCAGCTCATACTGTCAACAAGTGTCCTTTTTGCTATTTAGTGCCACCCTTTCCACAATTTTGTGCTTTTTGTTAAATTTCACTGTTTAAAATGAACCCCAAATGTGTACTGCTGAAGTGCTATCTAGTATTCCTAAGCCCAAGAAGGCTGTGATGTGCCCTGGAGAGAAAGTAACGTTAGATAACCTTCGTTCAGACACCGAGTTATCATGAGTTCAGCGTTAACGAGTCAGCAATATATATTAAATAAGGTGTCTTTAAAAAGAAATACACATAAAAAAAGATTATGTATTAATTGATTGACAAAAATGTAACTAGAGGCTTGTAGGAACCTAACTCCATATTTCTGCTAGGAGTATTCACTCATTCAGTGTTTTCAGTAACTTTATAGAATGTAACCATCATGAATAACGGGAATTGACTATATACTTATCTAAGGACTATTTTTAGATAACCAAATGTTATCTCATGTGACTAATTCTAAAACTAATGTAATCTAATCCTAAAATAACCCTAGGGCATCATTAATGAAATTAAAATATTTACCAAATATTACCAAAATATTTACCATTTATGCTAGTTTTCCTTAACTTAAAAAAAAAAAAAAAATCAGTTGAAAGAAAAGAGTTGGTACATTAAGTATACTCCAGCAATGAGAGAAAAAAATGAAAAACGAAATAAAATTGTGAGCGAAGGGAGGCACTTCATTCTTGTCTTAAGTTTTTGTTTTTGTTTAAGATAAAACATTTATCAGATCCCCAAGAGGTAAAAAAAAAAAAAAAAAAAAATACACACTGACTGGCAATTTCAGTTATGACTAAAAGCTGGGCAAGTAACAAGAAAAGGGTATCTACCTGTGAGTCTGCCAGGAGTCCTCAATCAGTAAGATCTGCAAAAGCAGATCCAAATAGGGCCGGAGTTCATAAGTGTAGGAATATGCAACCTAAAAACAGATTAAGACATGGTGAATAACTTATTTAAAGGAATAAAAAATCAAATTATGGAGACATATGAATATTTATTTTCCTTTAACCTGCCAGAGAAGTTCACTGAGGACAGTAGATGAGAACTGAGGATTTTCCCAGCAGCAAAAACGAAGCAATTTGACAGTTTCCTCTGAGTTACTGCAGTCCTCAATGATTTTCTTCACATAACTTGTTCTCACAAATAAAATGTCTGCCACATTCTGCTGAATTGGCATTATAGGTTGTGATAAATTAGGATCACCAAAAGGATTGGGAAGAGGAGGATTACCTAGAATACAGATTTGTCATCAATGAAAAACTAATAGGCTTCTCCACAATAACACACAGCTTTCACCGTAGAAAATAGTTTGAGTTTTTTGTTTTAGAAAAATAACATTTTAAATCAAGTTTCCTAAGTACAATGAAGAAAGTAATATATTAGGCGTTAACAATGATCAGATATACCAAGATGTTAACAATGATCAGATATACCAAGATAATAAAATGCAAAGTTTAAATGACAACACTGGCATTTGCCTATATAAAAAATTCTTTTTTTTTTTAATAATTTTATTTATTTATTTATTTCCCCCAAAGCCCCAGTAGAGAGTTGTATGTCATAGATACACATCCTTCTAGTTGCTATACGTGGGACGTGGCCTCAGCACGGCCGGAGAAGCGGTGCGCGCCCGGGATCCGAAACTGGGCCGCCAGCAGTAGAGCACGTCCACTTAACTGCTAAGCCATGTTGCCGGCCCAGTATAAAAAATTAATTCTTAAACTAATTCATAAACAAGGTATCCTCAGTAGCAAGTAGACAGAAAAAGATCTCCTTTAAATGTGAAAAAAGCGTAGGACTCAAAATACTATAAAATATTCCAAAGCATGGTCCTTTTAGACTCATTTTATATTTAATCATCTTCAGAATTACTTTTAATCAAGTACTATATATGCCCAGCAGTATTTTAAAACCAATGCAAAGCACGGAGAATTCAACTTTACCATTGATTGAAGACTGCATTCTTGATGAGACATTGCAGCAACGGATCAGCTGTGACACTACTGAGTATAATTTGCCTAATTCAGCATACTGATATTTAATTGGAGGACCTGGACCTTCATCTAAAGACACAAGCATAAAAGTAGCAGGTACACTCAATTTCAGAAGCTGTGTCTTCTCTGCCACACCTATAATGAAGAAGGGAGAAGTGGGAAAAGAGGGAGAATTATATGAGAGGAAAGAATTAGGAAGGCAAGGGCTTCATAATAAACTAGTTATCTAAGAAATATTTTTCTATCATTTTTATGATCAGAAACAGATCACTTTTACTGAGCATTCAGAGAATTATTTAACCAGAACAAAAAATCCACTGAGTTAGTATAACTGGATTTAAGTATTAAAATGGTTAAATAATGACCAAGACATTCCAATCCTACTGGGCCATAAGAAAGATGAATACTTTCTATGGCCTGCAGAGTCTGGGGGACTAGCATAGACTGCAATCCTACCATTAGGTAGGACGGTAAAAACTAAATTAAGTGAGAACTAAGAATTCTTTTATCAATTGCTGTCTCGCTTCTTTCTTCCACAGTTAAGCTTCTTGAAAAAGATGCCTAAATTTGGTCTCTACTTTCTCATTTTCCCATGCCTCAACCCATGCCAATTTGGTTTCTGCCCTCTTTCCTGGTGTAAAGCTAAGGAATAATTCTCAAACCATAACTCTCCTCCTTCTTGGATTCCTCTCATTTTCTTTCTACCTCTTCTCCTTGGTCTCATTTGTGAGTCCTCCTTCCCGTCTCTTAAAAACTGATGCTCCTCCTTGGGGGCCGGCCCAGTGGTGCAAGCGGTTGAGTGTGTGCGCTCCGCTGCGGCGGCCCAGGGTTCGCAGGTTTAGATCCCGGGCGCGCACCCATGCACCACTTGGTAAGCCATGCTGTGGCGGCGTCCCATATAAAGTGGAGGAAGATGGGCATGGATGTTAGCTCAGGGCCAATATTCCTCAGCGAAAAAGAGGAGGATTGGCATCGGATGTTAGCTTAGGGCTGATCTTCACACACACACACAAAAAAACCAAAAAAAACCCCTGATGATCCTCAAAGTTACTATGCCAGGCTATCTTCTCACACTGTATGCTTTCCCTGGATGATCAAACCCACTCTAATGGCTTCAAGTTCCAGCTATTTCCATTCAGATGATTCCACAATATTTCCAGACAAATATCTATCTCTATTTGGGTGTCACAGAGGCTCAAACAATTTGCCCAAACTGAACTCATCATCTTTCTCCTTCATCCCTGTTCTTCCTTCTGTGTTTCCCCTCTCAGCACACGGCACCACTATTGGCTCAGTTCATCAAGTCAGAATTCTAGGCAGCATTCTTAACATTTCTTCCATGTCCCCCTTCCCTGAATATCCAATCACCAAATCCTACTGACTCTACCTCTAATAAAAAGCACCAGAATCTGTCCTACTTATATCCCTCTCACTGCCAGTTCCTCAGTACAGGCCACAATGATCTTCTGCCTATAGAACATTTGAACAATCTCTAGTCTTACTCTCCCTGTAATCCATTCCACACTGTAGCCAGAGTGATCTTTCTGGAAGGTATGTCTATTCAAAACTCTACAATGGCTCATCAATGCTCTCAGGGTAAACTCCAGAATCCCTCAGGAGGCTTGCCAAAATAGCATGATCGGAGAATCCTGCTCTCCACTCCTGCTATCCCCATCTTACATCAATTTGCCAGACTGAATAACTTTCATTTCCTCCAATGAGCCACGGTGAGTTTTTTCCAAGTCTTCGCACCTGCTGTTCACTCTGGATGGAAAACTCAACCAACAGATCCCCACATTTGATCAGGTATGATGTACTTCCATAGCACTTCGTATTTTCCCTATTACAGCCATTAACATACTTTATGGCAACTACCTTTTTATTTGCTTCTATATCCCATTAGACAGTAGATTGTCTTATTTATTGCCACGTTCCAAGAAGTATAATAAATACAGGCCCACAATCCCTTATCTGAAATCCTGAGATTCAAAAAGCTCTTATCATAAATATAAACAAAGTTCTTCATAAAGTTGGTATCAAAATATGTTTGGTGGGAACATCTGGCCTGAACTGACAAGAGGCTATTTACAGTCTTCATTTATCCTCTTCTCAGTGTGAACATCCATGTGTTACTGTAGAAATATTAATGTGTATGATAATAAGGTGCTGTCTCAGACCGTGCTAAAGGGATGTTACATATTGCATGGTACATGCACTACCTTACCTTTCTTAAATCCAAACAATTGTGAACCCCAAAGCATATCTGTCTTAAGGATTTCATATTAAGTTTATAGACCCATATTTGCTTTTAGCAGGGAAATTTTAATTAGATTACATTATGGATCAATGATATATGCTTTGTGAATAGGCAATAGCTAAAAAGGGAGTTAAACAAAATAGGATTTTTGTGATGGCCTAAATTTGGCGTTTCTAAGTTTGAAATACAGATTCCAATCATGCTTGTTTGTGTAATAAATATTCTCTTCCTTCTCAACTACAAATACCCAAACATCTCCAGTATGGAAAGGAAAGGGAAAAGGAGACAAACGGAAAGGAGAATGTTATGTTAAAAGGGCCATTGATCAGGGGCTGGCTCCGTGGCCTAGTGGTTAAGTTCGGTGTGCTCCACTTCGGTGGCTTGGGTTTAGATCCTTGGCGCAGACCTACACCACTCATCGCAGGCCATGTTGTGGCAGCGCCCACATACAAAATAAAGGAAGATTGGCATAGATGTTAGCTCAGGGTGAATCTTCCTCAAGCAAAAAAAAAAAAAAAAAAAAAAAAAAAGGGCCACTGATCAATTGATGATTAGTAAGTTCACACACAAAAAACCTAGAATGACAGGGATGTTTGGGTACAGAACTTAATTCTGGATATAAGTTGTTTTTTTGTTTTTTAACTTTTAAGAAGTTATTCAAAACTATCTGCTAAGTCTCCAAATTAGCTCCCAATCTGGTCAAATATACATTATTATTCATTAAAATTCTAACTGGAATGTCTCAATAAATTAGTCATTTTGGGATCAGTGTACTAACATCTGATTGACTGATACCTAATTCTTCTAATTCCAATCATAGGAAAGTTATCCCCTCCCAAGCCAATTAACAAACATCAAAATGACAGTGGAAGCATTTTTGATGATATTCCTAACTATCCATCTATTCATTCAGCAAACATTTGCTGAGTGCTATTGTGCAAAGCTCTGATCTCCGCAATCTAGTCAGGGGGCAACACAAAAATATGAATGCTGTCACAAACTGTTAACAGAGTAAGTATAAGATTCTATAGCATTTTTTTACGGTAAGTATTATAGAATCACTGAAAACAAACCATCAGGTGATGTTAGAAAGAGCAGGTTACTTTGAGAAGGAGACTTATTATACAGAGATAATAATGTATCAATAACGGGGTAATTTATGTGAATTCCTTAAGTGAATATTTATATTATCCTTAATTTTAATTTAGTTTACTTCAACACACACGTACGTATGTACAAACTAAGTCTTCTACCCAAACTTGGTGAATATCACAACCATCTGGGGACCTTTTGAAAATATAGATTCCTTTCACTAGCTTTGAGAATTCTGATTCAATTGGTGTGAGATGAGGCTTAGGAATTGGTATTTTCAAAAAGCAGACAGATCTGGCATCACTGTTTCAGGAGATAAAGATATGATTAAGACACAGATTCTGACCTGTGTCTACTACAGAGATAAGAAAATGCATAAATTAAACTATAAAGTACAAGGTGAAAAGCACAGTAAAAAAAGTTTCAGATAAAATTTACAATAGGTTTTATGGAATATTGTTTCTATTTTAGATCAGGTTATATTTCATCACTTGATTTAAATGACTTCACCACTTCATATAATACATTAAAACAGAATTATGAAACCTTAAACTCTTACCTAAATTGGCATACATTACAAACAGGTTGAAATATTGCTGTAAATGACGTCCATGCTCTGAAACTTCCCTTCTCAAGAGATTTAGTACTGCTCTTAGTAAGTGATCACTCAGGCTTAAGTTGTCATAAGCCTATAAAGGATAAAACATTGGCTGTTTTTTCAAAAGCAACAAGGTGCAGGTATGATATAATTCTATTTGCATAAAAAAGGACATGCATATATATCTATGTAGAATACAGGCAGAAATTTCTGGAAGGACTGATCACACAAGAAAACTAAAAAGGATTGCTTCTTAGGGAAGGGAATGAAGATCCCAGGTAGATTTCATTATAGAGCCTTCATGCTGTTCTAATTTTTAAAGAATGTTTTTAAAGAGCCAATAATCATTATTCATTGCTGTGAAGTACTTTTAATGGAACTCATATACATCAGATCGCGTGTTGTGTGTGCATATGTGCAGACATGTTAGTTATGTAAACATCAATTAGATGTACATATTTTTGTGACTTCAACTTCCAGGAAACAGAATTAATTTGTAAGCATTTAAATCATTAGAAAGTTGTGCAATTACCTGACTAGAAGGTCCAGGAGATGCAAAAGGTGAAGGACATGGTCCATCTTGCAAGGAAAAATGTGCAATAAAAACTATAAGTTTTGCAAATGCACCCCTCACTTCTGCACTAGGGCACTCCAGAAGGTATTCAGAGAAGCGATTTGAAACATTAAAAAGGACATTATGAGCAAACCAAAAACGTACATTCTTGCTGTGACGAAGGAGAATACACAATGCGTCATACCTAAGACAAAACAAAAAAACTTATGAATATCAATTCAGTAACATGTTTCCTATAGTCTAGGGATGGGTCTCTTTCTATGAACCAAATAAAAATCAAAGACCTTCTTTTACTACTGGAGAGAGCAGCAGTGATTGCTTCTAATACTAACATTAAAAAGACAGATGAATATCATGACTTGGTCTATTCTCAGTGTGACAAAATAGATAGATAAAAGCTTATACAGTCCTCTACAAATCCATTACCAGTCTCTTCCTAGGTTCAATGACAAACAATATCTGCCCTCCAACCTTCCCTTAACATCTTCCTACTGGATAAGTAAGTAAAAATTGTTAAATCAACGTATCATAATGGCCTCTGAACTTTCACAATTATAAACTTAGGAAACATTTTAATTTTTTACCTTTTTAATCTACAGCAGAATTTAATCTAGGGAAGCTAAAACCTAATAATTTCATGGTTAAATAGCTTAGACTTAAGCATCATCCCATAATCTTTTGTACAGGAATGTCAACAACGTGATACAAAGTAATACTGCCAAAAGCCAGCTTTTGAATAACAAAAGGCCACGTTTAAGTAATTACTTCAATATGCTTTCTCTCACTATTGCTACCAAGAGTTTTTTATTCTGCATTCCAAATCTGAAAAAAGATTATCATGGTTTGGAAAAAATAAAGTAGTATATTAAAGAACCAAACTAAATGTTAGTATAATAGGAATGGAAATTCAAAGCAAGGTACCAATCACTGGCAGAGCCACGGATTACTTTCTTGGTGTGAAATCCTGTGGTAAAGAGGAACCTAGCAGCAAGCTGAATACTAATCATAGTAATTTCTTCTGCTTCAGGCAACAGGTGATCTTGCCCTATAAATAAAATGCAGATAAAAAAATTCAAACAAATTTCTATGTCCAAGCCCCATTTTCAAACAAGTCTGCATTCCCACTAATTTTCAGGAGTCCTAACTGTGTCAAAACCTCTTTTAGGCTACTTATGAAATAATTCTTAGTGGTTCACTAAAGCACGTTTCAAACTAATGCTTGAGTCAAAAACAAACTTAAAATAAACAAAAACTTCTCTGTTTCCAAATAGCAAGACAACATATACCACTCAAAGATGACAGTCATACGTTGCTTAACGATGGGGGTACGTTCTGAGAAACGCGTCGTTAGCCAATTTTGTCATTGTGTGAACGTCAAAGAGTGTATTCACACAAATCTAAATGGTGTAGCTGGGCCAGCCCCGTGGCTTAGCGGTTGGGTGTGCACACTCCACTGCTGGCGGCCCGGGTTCGGATCCCGGGTACGCACCGACGCACCGCTTCTCCAGCCATGCTGACGCCGCGTCCCACATACAGCAACTAGAAGGATGTGCAACTATGACACACAACTATCTACTGGGGCTTTGGGGGAAAAATAAATAAATAAAAATTAAAAAAAAAAAAAAAAATGGTGTAGCCTACTCCACACCTAGGCTATATAGTACTAATCTTAAGGGACCACCGTCATATATTCGGTCTGTTGATGACTGAAACGTCAGTATGTAAGACGACTGTAGTCATCTGAAATATGACTTTAAAACAACCAAAAGTAAAAAAACAAACATGTCAATGCCTGCTAAGAAATCCTGCAAGTAAAATAAGAATTATGCTTTATTATCAAGAAGCTAAATTTTTGATTCTTACCTGGAGGAGGATTTAAGTAAACACCATTACATGTAAGCAGTTTTTTCATAAACTGAAAATATTCCAAACTGTACTGCATTCGGTTATGCATGAATTGCACATTCTGTTTCCGTACACTTCTCTCAATGGCTGACGGCATAATAATCTGATGGGGTCTTGTGCTGATAGCAAGCTCTGATATATATCTTATCAACTCATCATCTTGGTCTATTGTGTCCAATCGTTCATAAAAAAGTATATAAGCATTCCACCACCTTTTCTGGCGCCTGTATGACATGCGCTTCATCATGTGATCAAATACTTCTCCCATGTACTCCCCACCAAAACACTGGTTTTTCATTTCTTCATCGTCATCCATTTTACACTCTGTTACATCTCCATCATCAAATTTATACCAGCGATTTCTCTCACCATCTCCACCATTCCTTTGAATGATATAAGAATAATAATGTCCCCCACTTGCTTGACCACTGTGTACAAGCACACCCACAAGTCTGTATTTTGTGCTTCCTGCCGTCTCACTTTCAGACTGCTCATTCTGTTGTATCAACTGACTCTCTGGGTTTACATTATCTCCTTCCAGCTTTGCAACACCTGCAACCGTGTAAGGTTCCATGTCCAGCTCTCGAGGAAATTCAAAATAATCATTGAACTTGATTGCACATTCTCTTTCCCAGTCATAGTCGAATCGTTTTAATTGGATAGCAAGAACAGGAGGTAATTTTTTAATTAGCAAGCGCTTTACAGTATCAACCTAAAATAAACAGAGTAAGTTACTAGATGTTCTGTTATAATCCACTGCAAAAAGACAAACGAACTTTAAAATTGTATTATTAAATTCTCTTAAGACTAGTATGAAATTATTTATAAGTGTAAACAACATGATAATGAACAAATCAAGGTAATTCTGTCACAGTTGATATTTTTAAAAATGTTAACTAAAATTAATAATATGAAAATGGCTTATGACATTTGTTACAAATTGCAAAAATTAGTGATATAGACATTACTTGCTGCCTGGTTTCCATGTTGTCATTGCTATCTAACCGTTATTACTTGTTTGATTATTTACTGTTATTCTAATAAAAGTGGTTTGCTGTGAGCAAACTGAAGAAACACAATAATAGCAGTAATAGTTATTGGGAAATTAGATGCCAGGTAATATGTTAAGTGCTGCCCAGTACTACTGAGCCTTAAGAATGAGGATTAGGAATAGCAAAGCGATTAAGCAACTTGCCTCAAGTCTCAGAGCCATGGGTGGGTGGTAGGCAGTATGGCTTTACAGCTCAAAGTCTCAACCTCTAGACTTTAATACCTCTCTAAGTGGTGTGTAAGGTCACAACAATAGAGGTGACTTGGAGGTGAGAGGGTGTGGGAGCCCAGAAAGATACACATTGTTTACTTTATGTACGTGTGAATTGTCTCCCCCAAAGAGCTGTTAAGTGCCCACAGATAAAAACTAATCAGGTGAGAGAAAAACTAATCAGGTGAGAGAAGAAATCTCATGCAGCTGAATAAAGTAACCTCAGCAAACTTCTTGGTCTTCACAAGTAATTCTAGACATGAGAGGAGAAATGTTTTCTGCTGTGGGCTCTGTAGTTTTGAGGAGTTCAACAGCAGTTTGGCTGGGTATAGATGGAAAGTGTGTAATTCAGAAAGGAGAATGTGATATTAAGCTATTATGACTTCTAAAATGATTCACTCTTATTTACCTGTTTTGCCTAGCCCTTCTGGCACAACTTTCTCTCAATCTTCTTTCCCTGATAAGCCTTTAAATCAATTATCTTAACTACCTCTCTGCTACCACTATAACGAAGCAGGGTAGGGAAGAAAAAGAGGGTGAATGTTGAAGACAAAAACAATCAGCTTCTTCCAAATCCATTAAATGTAATCATAATTATTTTAAAAAGTGGACAATTCGTACCTTTTTATTGCATTTTTCACAATGATATGCATTTGCACCTTCTAATAAATCTCCTTTGACATACTGTTCCAAAGAATCAAGAAGATTTTGGTGATTTCTAATGTCTACATTCAAAGTTGTAAAAGATTCTTCACACTCGTATCTAAAGATATTTAGGAAATGATCAAAAAAGATTTATTCCTTAGTTTTCTAAACACTTTATTTAGTTATGGACTTAATGAAAACTACATTTGCAATATTTATAATACAAAACCTTTAAGTCATAGAATGTTACCAAAAAATGACAGTTATCATTTACTGGTCACTTATCCTGTGCTGGGCACTTTATTAGGTTGTTTACACATTATACATACTAGGTTCTCTGTCTTCATTACAAACCTGCTAGAGAACTATCTATCACCATCTACACTTCAGAGATGAGGGAACAGGGGTTCAGAAAAGTTAATTTGGTCAAGACTAGATAAAATGGTGTTTTGAAGCATGGTCATTCTGGCTTCACAGCTTAAGCTCTTTATAATCTACCATGCTGTTTCCTCTGTTATCTGGTTTCCTCTGTTACCTGTTTAGATAGTAATTCATGCCAAGGCCAAAGCATGAATTCATCAACTTCTGAAAAGGATATTTTAAACTATTAATGGGCTGAAGTTTTAAATGTTCCTCCTTTTCTGTAATGGAAACCTTACTAAAGCACAAGTTTGAACACAAATAAACAGGGGACAAGCAATCTGAGTAGGAGCCAGAATCCCATACTGTGGCAATTTTCTACCAAAGGAATTTTCAGATTTTTGATGAGACATATTCATAAATTGAGACCATGGGATGTGGGGAATACATTCTCAACCATCAAATTCATTCATTCAATAAATATATCAAGGGTGCCTTCCATTTGTAAAGCACTGTGGAATAGTCAATGTTCAGACAGTCCTTCCTATTTTGTTTGATTAAGGGCTTAATAAATCTCCTTTCAATTTAGTTAGGGAAAAAAGACAGGTACACAAAGGCATTTATAAGTGACATGAATGGAAAATGAAGTAGGTATTAAGCAAATTGCTACTATAATCAGGGAACGGCCCATAGAAGAGAAAAAGAAAGTTAGATCTTATAACTCCAGTTAAAAAGTAGGACATTCCAAGACAAGAAGTCTGCCAAGTTTTTCTGTAAAAAGCCAGGTAGTAATATTACAGGCTTTTTCGGACCGTGAAGTCTCTGTGGCAACTACTCGACTACTCTGCTGTTAACAGTGAAAGCAGCTAGACAGTAGGTAAAGGAGTGGGTATGTTCCAATAAAACTTGACAAAAACAGATGCCAGGCTGGATTTGACCTATGGTCCATAGTTTGTTAACCCCTGTTCTAGACAAATAATGCCCTAAAACAGATAGACTTGAGACTCGTTATGTCACCTTCTGGCATATAACAAGAACAAGACTAGTTGTGGAGCAGGGATCTGAACCTTAGAGATCTTACTTAAGATCATGCTCTCCGGACATTTTAACTTAGCAAAGAAAACCAATAATTTCCAAATAATTTTGAAAACTGTCTAAAACAAACCAAGAAGGACTGACAAGAACAGATGACAAAAAGTTGGCAACTTGATCAGTAATTAAAAACAAGAGATTAAAATGACAATTTTATTGTCCACCTAATGCAAAAGGTCTTTCAAAAGGACCAACAGTTGTCCAGGTTACATGAACAATTATATGCCCTTATTCTCGACGAATGGTTTAACCTGATGGAAATTTCTCATTTATACAGTGTTACCTCTCTCCTAATCATTTCCCCATTTTCAAAAATGAAGCACCCCCACCAACCATGTACACACACAACCCACGACTAACATATAATACTGTTTGGGCTTGTAGAAAATACTATCTTACTGTGACATTTTGGTGAAAAAGGATTTCAAACCAACATTAATTGATAACACAAAAGAGAAGTTCCAAAGTAACACTTTCATGTAATAAGTATAAACGTGTATTTATCAGTAACAAACTTTAATAGTTATTTAACTATTTTCAATAAGAGCCCTTAATCAAACAATTTCCCTTTTAAGTCAAAACAACAATTTGTTTAGTCAACTCTTGCTGTAAATGTTTTGTTTGGAAAACATACCTTAAGGATAATGACAATAATCTACCCTATTTTAAAAGTCAATATTTCATTTGTATAGGAAATACTGCTCCATGTCTGTCTGTCATCTTCTAAACTTAAAAATAATTATAATATTGTAAACACACTAACTCTAAAATAAAGGGCAAATTTATAAGTAATACCTGTAGATATGTGCAAAATGCCATTTTACTTCCCCAGGAATGACCATACATGAAAGAATGTAAGAGTATGAAATAGTTAAGAGATTAAGTGGAGTAAAAGTTATTTGACAACAATCAAAAAAATGCCCACAGTACTAAGGTATGTACAGTATATAATTCATCCAGTCTCAGGTATTTAGTAATTGGTGGCATACTCTACTTTCATACATAACTACTAGCAAAAAAATTTTGTTTTTGTTAGTAAATAAACAGTATGAAATATACTTTAAATATGTAATTAGCACTTACCTATGTGGGCAGCCTTGGCAAATCTTCTGATCAGCAAAGGAACCTCCTAAGACTTTACTTAGCATAGCTGGATGTCCTAAGGCTTTCAAAGCTTCATCTAAACTATCCACCAATGAATTAAAAAATTCTAAAGCATCATGTTGTTCACGCAGATTAACAGGCTCACCCCAAAGCCTAAGAAATGATGGAATAAAATATGTAATGTGCAACACTCCCAGAACAAGATATACAATATATTTTTCAGGAAAAAAAAGCAATACAACCACAAATAACAGTATATAAACTGAGATTTTATTCCTCAACTACATGAGGAAGTAGAAAAAAAATAAATGCTCTTTACGTATTGAGTGCAGTGGGGGAGAAAGTGAGGCTCACAGTAAAAGTGGTACTATAGTGGGAAGAATTACCATAAAACTACTGGTGTGGTTGATGGACAGCATGGCTCTAAAAAGGATGGTTACTTTAAGCGATATGATATATGCATGCATTTTGAATCCAACTGAAGATGCTATTAAAATGGGGTGGTGGATCTCACTCTTATGTAGATGTTATAATTACTGTTTTATTTCTTTCATTTTGCTTAAATTTCGGGTTATAGATACAGTGCCAAGATTATATCTATTTACTCTTAATTACACTGATTTTTCCAAGTGAAAAGAGAAAGATTTGACTTCTTCTAGAGTTGATCTCTTTTGAGTAATCTGAGGACTTAAATTAGGCAAATCAACCTTGAGAAAACAAACTATCAATTGTGTGTACCACAAAATGAGGACTGATACTTCTAAAATTTAGGCACTGCTAGAAACTATCAATGACATTGAATTTTGTATTTACAGAGTAATATACAGAGAATATAAATGAATTCATTTTAAGTGAGACATATGACCACATTTTTTTTAAAATTTAATTAGTTTTTATTGAGGTAACACTGGTTTATATAACATTATGTGAATTTCACGTATACATCATTATATTTTGACTTCTGTGTAGACTACATCATGTTCACCACCCAGTCTAGTTGCCATCCATCACTGACAAATGTATTTTAAATACACTACAGGAACTGACTTTTGATATTCTTTTATAGTAGATAATCTCATTCCAATTATATTTTAGACTTTAAATTTGCACATAGTGAGTTTAAAATCAAATACATCGGTTTTTGTTAAAATCCATTTGTTTCATTATTGGAGATGACACCAATCCATTCTATTTACTTTCAAATTGTAGTTAACTCCCCATACTTTCAAACGTGTAGTCAACTATTAATTAAGAAGGGAAAAGGTACCTTTACAATGAGAGATCTGTTAAGACACCAAAAGATCAAAGTTAATATCACCAATAATCAGATAAACTGATACCACATGCCTCCCGATGCAATGCAATGAGAGGCATATAACATCACCTACACAGTTTTCTTACCAAAAAAACCCCACAAAAAACAAAACACCCACGTTTAACCTGAATCTAATCATGAGGAAATGATCACACAAATCAAGAAAGTGAGAGAGACTCTGCAAGACAACTGGCTTAGACTCTTCAAAAATTTCAGTGCCATAAAAGTCACTGACAAGTTAGGGAGATTATTTTAAAGAAGACTAAAGAGGTAACAATCAAATTCTTGTGATTCCTTCCAGGATATCAGACTAGGATTGAAAGAAAAAATAAAAAAAAGTCACAAAGAGTATTTTGGAGAAATCGGGATACACACTGACGAATTTCAGACATTATTAAATCAATATTAAATTTCGTGGGTGTGATAATTGTATTGTAGCTAAGTAGGAAAAAGTGCTTATTCTTAGAAGATAAATGTTGAAGCATATAGGGGGGTTAAGTGTCATGTTTGCAACTGAGTATCAACTGGTTTAGGAAAAAAAAAAAAAAAAATCAAACAAAAACCAAAACCCAAGTATACACATAAGCAAATATGGCAAAATGTTAACGCTTGGTAAACCTGGGTAAAGAACATAACATAAAGGCGATTATACTACTACTTCATCTTTTCTGTTGGTCTGAAATTTTTCAAAATAAAAAATTAGAGGTGGGGTGGGCAATGTGGTCAACTAACCCACATGTATCAAGAATATATTACGTGTCTCAAGTGTGGATAATCCAAACGTGCTAGTCTGACAAACTGTGAGATCCACTAGCATAGGGAGTAAATGAGAAGTCAAAAATGCAAATGAATTATAAGAAGAGAGAAAACTACTTATAACCGAATGACAAATTTTAAGACAAAAGCTCAAAAAGTGTGAGAGTAATTTGGAAGAGGAAGAACAGAAATGCTAAAAGCCTAATGGCTGAGATGGGATGAGCTAGGGAAGAAAGAGAACAGGAACAGTCAGAGAGGAGTGTGCCAGGTGATGGGACTGAAAGAGCAAAAGTAGAGCTGGGAAGAAGGGTGGCGCATGCAAGCCAAGAATATGGATTAAGTAGTGGCCTAGGCAGGGGAATCAAAGGAGTTTACATGATGAGTCATAGGGAAGTTATCGTACTATAAAGCAGTGGTTTCAGAAAGAAATCTAAGTCGTATCCTTGTAGGGAAAAGGGGAGCTGCTCTGATCGAAGTAGGGAAAGCGGACCAGAGTGGCAGCGTCAGGTGACTCTTTGTGTCCCCTGTTCTCAGCTGTCTGGGAGATACCTTGAAGGGATTCTAAGGAGTATTATTTTAAAAACCCATTGTGGGCCGGCCTCGTGGCTTAGTGGTTAAGTGGTTAAGTGTGCGCGCTCCACTACTGGCGGCCTGGGTCCGGATCCCGGGCGCCCACCGACGCACCGCTTCTCCGGCCATGCTGAGGCCGCATCCCACATACAGCAACTAGAAGGATGTGCAACTGTGACATACAACTATCTACTGGGGCTTTGGGGGAAAAAAGGAGGAGGATTGGCAATAGATGTTAGCTCAGAGCCAGTCTTCCTCAGCAAAAAGAGGAGGATTAGCATGGATGGTAGCTCAGGGCTGATCTTCCTCACACACACACAAAAAAAAGACATTAAAAAAAATAATAAAAAAAATAAAAACCCACTGTCATGAAAGATTATAGCCTTTTTCACACTCAGTACCGAGTTACGTGGTTGTACTGTGGTATTTTAACACAGTGCATGACATAATAGACAATGATTTTTAAAAAAGTGAAATAAATGAAGTTAAAGAAATAAGATCAAGATGTAATTGATGACTTTTAACGAAAAAGTTTTCTAAATGAAAGAAAAGAAAAAATGAATTTATCCCATCTTTCCTATAAAAATGTACATTAGGATAGCCAAATAGTTGGTGAAGGAAAGTTTCCCTTTATAGATCTAGTCTAGCTAATATAAACTTAGAATATTGCAACTCTGTAACCCCAATACTGTATTTAGGCAATGATGATCAATGGCTGTTATCATAAGAGAAAGAGACAGACACTATGTACCTCTCCTCACTGAGGTAAACATTACCACCTAAGAAGTAGCCTTGCCTACCCATTCCAAAAAAAGAATACCTCAATCTGATCAAGCCTCTAAATCTCACTGTCTATTTATAGGAAATACAGGGGACTGAGGAAAACAGAAAATACTAAAATACCACAGGGATCCCATCAATAAAATCCAGATGGTGGGAAAATTTACAGGGTAAACTACCTGTTTTTTTTTTTTTCCAAATAATTGCAAGGTTGAAAAAAGATTAGAAAAGACTCAAGAGTCACAGCAACATTTGCCATTTACAGACTTCCTTTGGATCCTGATTTCAAAAAACACACAGTAAAAAATAATTATGAGATAATTGGGTAAATTCAAAGACTAACAAGGATATTAAGGAATTTTTAAAAGACATGATAATAGTATCATGGTTACGTTAAAAAAAAGACATTAGAGATACATACTACAATATTCATGGATGAAACTATGTATTTAAGACTTGCTTCAAAACAATCTGGAAAGAAGTAGATGGGAACGTAGATTAAACAAGATTGGCCATGAGTTGACCACTGTTGAAGTTGGGTGATGAATACATAAGGGTTTATACCCTTCTCCCTACTTCTGTACACATTAGAAGTTTTCAAAATAAAAAGTTATTAACACCTTTTTTTTTTTTTTAATTTTTTATTTATTTTTTTTCCCCCAAAGCCCCAGTAGATAGTTGTATGTCATAGCTGCACATCCTTCCAGTTGCTGTATGTGGGACGCGGCCTCAGCATGGCCGGGGAAGCAGTGCGTCTGTGCGCGCCCGGGATCGAACCCGGGCTGCCAGCAGCAGAGCGCACGTACTCAACCGCTAAGCCACGGGGCCGGCCCAAAAAAGTTATTAACACCTTAAGAGACTAAAGAATGCTGCCTCTCCTTACTATGACACTTTCTACCTCCTCCTTTGGGGACAATGAGAAAAAAAACCCAACTGAGAAGCGGGGTTTGAATATTACTATTGCTTATATATTAAACATAAAAATGCCTTCCAACATATATTTTAGAAGTTTAACATTAGTGTATTGAGATGTTCATAAAGCTTTAAGCAGTATCCCTATTACTATCCATCCATAGTTTACCTGAACTGTTTCCAAAATCCTCTTGGCACATAGTACTGTAGTCGAGAAGCAGCTAAATGACCAAAGATGACCTGAAGGTGTCTTAGAACACCAATATTGTACTCTTTCCTATCTTCTGTTTTACTTAATGCTGGTTTGTCTTCAAATTGTTGAGGATATCCAAATACATCATCTCTGGGATCAACATTGCTCTAGAAACCAAAAAATACCATTAATGAGTGAATCTAACTTTAAAGTGTGGTAAAATATGTTGAGACAAATGCCAGTTAGTGAACGAATGATCTGTACTTCTATTTCTTATCTCCAAAGCACTTAACTTTTAATTTATAAATTTTAATTTATAGTATTATTGCTTATTCCCACCACTTCACGTAAGGAGTTGTCATAAAGGAATAACCCTATGTATTGAAGAGTTAGATAATACAGCAGAGTATAGTGATTAACTAAGACTGAACTGGACACAAATGCAGGTTCTGCCGCTTATAAGCTAAGTATCTTAGAGCAAGTAAGTTACTTAACCTTTCTAAGCTTCAGTTTTCTCAAGTGTAAATGAGGATACACATTCTTCATGTAGCTACTCTGAGGATTATATGAGATAATGTATATAAAGTGCTCAGAACTGTAAACATTCAATAAAATTCAATAAGATATACATATTAAGAGAAGCAGTACTCTTCAACCAATGGTGGTGGAAAAACTAGATATCAATATGCAAAAGAATGAAGCTGGACTCTTCCCTAACACTGTATACAAAAATTAACTCAATACGGATCAAACACCTGAAGGTAAGAGAACTATGAAACTCTTAAAAGAAAACATAGGGTAAAAAAAGCTTCACAACATTGGATTCAAGCTATGACTTATTGGATATGACACCAAAGGCACAAGCAACAAAAGACATATTGAACACCTCATGAAAATTAACAACTTTTGTGCAAAGATTGGAACGCTTGTGCACTGTTGGTGGGAATGTAAAATGATGTAGCCACTATAGAAAACAGTTCCTCAAAAAACTAAAAATAGAATTACCACACGATCCAGCAATTCCACTTCTGGGTATACACCCTAAAGAACTCAGAGAAAGGTCTCAAAGCGGTATTTTTACACTCATGTTCACAGCAGCATTATTCACAATAGCCAAAAGGCAGAAGCAACCCAAGTGCCCAGTGATGGATAAATGGATAAACAAAATGTGGTATACCCATACAATGGATTATTACTCAGCCTTAAAAAGGAAATTCTGACACATGCTATGTCATGGATAAACCTTGAGAACATTAAGTGAAATAAGCCAGTCACAAAAGGAGAAACATGGCATGACTCCACTTACAGGAGGTACCTAGAATAGTCAAATTCATAGAGATGGAAAGAGATTGGTGGTTGCAGATCAAAGGTCTGAGACCCTTGATAGAGGAACAGACAATATCCAGTTCCTACCCATGAGAAACTTACATTCTAGGGAAGGAAACAAGCACATAGGCAAAAACCAAAAAACCCAAAGAAATCCACAGTGCAGTGGGGTGCCGAGACAACATAGAGCAGAGGGTACCATGAAGGCAAAGGTGGGACGTCTTATTTGAACTTGTATCATGTTTTGTCCGCCTTGTTTACTTCTTGCTGGTACAATTAGCTATCTCTACTCGTGCTTAACTCAACATTCCAGAGATATGATGGGCTACAGAACTAGAATTTCAATTTCAATTTTCACTCAGAGCAGTGGTATGAAGCTTTTTTAAAAAGTAAAAATGCTTAGACCCCAATTCCTGAATGATGCGGTTCAGTAGATCTCGGGAAAGAGTTGAGGCAAGTGTATGTTTCAGAAGGCCTGTAAATGATCAACTACCTCAGAGCAAATAGTTCTGGTGACTGAAGGAGAGGGAATGAGGAAAGAACCATTCAAGATATTTACTACAACTAGAACACACTCTTGGCTTCTCTCTTCAGTTCTCACCAACACTATGAACAGGAAAAGGTAAACTAAAAATCGAAGCAATACAGGGTAGATAGAAACATGACCACAACTTAAGTCTTGCCATATTCTCTTCTTTAAAGAGCCATGCCACAGTTATGTCCACTCTGATCTGCCACTACAACCTGAACTTTCCCATAGCTTTTTCCTGCATTTTTTCTATTTGGTAGGCAGCCTTAATTTTGCCACGAGACCATGTAATATTTAAAATAGACATCTGTTTCCTAAGCAAGAAGATCTATGATCTGGGGGAAATGTAAAAGTAACCTAAAAGTAAGCACAGATAACGAAACTGGCATAGTATACAACTTGGCATAAATTAATGGAGATATATAATTTAAACTATCAAATACAAAAGTGAAAATATAATTTAAACTATTATTAAAAATGAAGATTCTTATCATTATACAAACTCCAAATTATACTAAACACTTCACACAAGAGTATATTAACTTGCTTTAAAGACATATAAACTATCATAAAAATTAACTGTAGTTTAAAGTCAGGTAGATAGTGAACACTATATTATGTCAAGAGGTAGCAGTTCATACCTGAAGATTCTACCTTTATTTTCAAATATACATCAACATGTCCAATGAAAGTACAACAGTTTCTAAGAGAGAACAGTATCCAGTATCAGAACTTCAAACAGAAAACAAAAGCACTAAATAAAATTTACCTCATTGTCTTGCTTCTCATCCCCAGACATATCATCATCTACATCACTACCTGTGCCTTCAATTGCAAGAATACCATTCCTGATGGAGGGAATCATGTAGAGCTGCTGAATCACAGAATTCATGTAACAAGTAGCACCAGCATTCTTCAGTCCCACAAATCCTTTTGGTGGGCGGGGTCCAACAGGTGGCAGATATTCCCACTCAGTAAGTGCTTCACAAGCTGAGAGAAGATAAAAGATTCTTATAGGATGAATACAACCATTTTGTCCACTTTCAGCGCTATTAAGCTGATAAATTAACATTATCAACAAATGCAACACTCCTATAGTCACCTGAAGCAGTTCTACAAGCATGCAGTTCACCCTCGACAAACCTAAGTATAGAGCAACACTTACCACTATACAGATTCTTATCCCACGATCCACGAACCCATGTTTTATCTGATATTGCCTCCAAGCCAATCTCAGAAGCAGTCTCACAATATGGTATGATGCTAATTTCTACGTGCTAACTTTACTCTTAGCTTTACTGTTTAGTCATTATGAACTTTAATTTTTTCTACTTTTCTATGTTTTTAAAAGTGCCTTCAAACATTCTGGCATGAAACGCTATATAAATACATCAAGATTTTTATAGCTTGCTCAATTTTAAATAATCCTAAGACTACCTGGGTTCACATCCAGGTTCAGATACTTATCAACTCTTTCACCTTCAGGTAAGCCTGTTTCCTTCCTAATAAATGTAGTAATAAGACTAACACTTGGTTTGCCTATAATCACAACGTTATTTTGAGGAACAAATGAGATAGTGGGTTTGAAAGTTCTGTGAGAATTATATATTACCATACATCTCCCTCTACCTAGTATAAACCTGGAAACAATGTAAATATCATTGTCTACAGGACAAGTTAAATAAATTACAGTATACTGAACTGAAAGTTATATAGCCAATAAATGGAATTAGGTAAATATGTGTTGATAGTGAACAATCACAGATATATTAAAGGGAAAACAAAGTGAAGAACACTGTGTGTACTACATGCCAATCTGTGGTTGAAAAATGAAACAAAAAAAGATCTTGTATGTAGATTTTGCGTACACAGAGATGCCGGGAGACAGACATGAACTGATGCTATTGCTTACAGTTATCAATGGATGGGAGCGGGGCATGGGGGCCGGGCAGGACTCGAATGGGCAGGAAACATACTTTTTAGTATATACTCTCTTTGGTACTTGAAATTTTTACCATGCAAATTTTTGAGATTTGTTTAAAAACAAGTGGCCTTTCTCTTTCTGCCATCTTGGAGCCTATGGAGATGTGCTGGGAACAGGACTTCTAAAACAGCAAATACATCTGGAAGGCTGTGGTCCAAGGCTATTTTTTCTAGGCTATAAACAGGGTCCTCCGAAACCAGCCCATAGCTCCTCTTCTTAAAACTGAAGGTGTTCATGTCTGAGATGAAACTGAATTCTATCTATTCAAGAGACGTGCTCACGTGTACAAAGCCAAGAACAGCACAGTGACTCACGGCGGGAAAGTGAACAAAACCAGAGGAATCTGGGGAAAGGTTAACTCATGGCCATGGAAACAGTGGCATGGTTCGTGCCAAATTCCAAAGCAACCTTCCTGCTAGGGCCATTGGACACCGAATCCTTGTGATGCTATACCCCTTAGGGGTTTAAACTCATTGAAAACTAAATAAGGAAAAGTATGGATTTGTTTTAAAAAATGAACAAACAAAAAACCCCCCTTTAAGTTAAAACAAAACCCACCTTACTATATATACATTGGGTAAAATAAATAGCTAAATAACCTTTTAAGCAGTCACTTTAATCAGAATCTCCTAAAATGCGATTAAAACATTCTTATATTCAGAAATACAACATATCAAAATATAACTTGACATGCTTACTACAATCAATTGTATTCTTAAGATTTGTAGATAGACAGTCGTTTTCTCTTAAAACAAAACAGCCTCCTTTGTGTTTGATTTCTTATTTCTCCTTTTTCAGTCATTTTATATTGCCCTCATCTCTTCTGAGCGTCAGTTCCATATCTGTAAGATCTGGAGTCTGCAGCCTATTTCATGGGCTTCATGTAAGCATTAACTGAGGACATAAAGTGCACTAGACTGTTTTCTCACATTCTAATTTTTAAAACCAGATTGTCTTAGAGTTCATATGAAAATAACATTAAAGAGCTTCTACATGAGGTCCTGAAAGGTTTTCCAACGCATGCAATTTGAGTTTTATGTTTGAACTCTGGCATTTATTTTGACTAATTATTACTCTGGAATTTGGGTTTTATTTCAGATGAGACTGAGATGAAATGTATTTTGCTGAATATCACCCTATAGGAAGACATTTAACAAACATTTGAAAATTTTTCTACATTAAGTCTTTTTGTTTGTAATTGTCTTAAATTATACATCCATTTGCTAAAAACGTTAAACTAGTTGCTGAAAGAACGAAAAACCTGAGTTGAAGATGTTTACTAAAAGAAAAACAGGAAAACAATTCGAACACATACAGAATGGTCATCACGACTTTGTATTTTAAAACACTTACTAGTTATTGCTGTGCCAATGTAATACATTTCAGTCAAAGAATCTACTATCTGTTTGAGATTCCTCACACAGCCAACAGCTAATGCTACAAGTAACTCAAAACCAGCATTAATGGTAGCTGATGAACTACAGACTGGAATAGCCTGTTCAGCTGGCAGTTCTCCATTTCTCATATACTGCAGGTAAACATTGGATGCAGGGAAGATGAAATCATCAATTAACTCCTACAAGAGTTAAAAAAAGGATTATGTATTAGCAATGGTATATATATATCATTATATACATGTTACATGTTATATATATTTACATAATGTTTATATATTATATATAAATGTGATATAAAGTTATATATATGTGTGTGTGTATATATATATATTTTTTTTAAGGAAAGAAAAATGTCTCTTGGAAGGAAATAACGTTAAATTACGTATCAGAATTCAAGATCTCACTACATCTCAGAAAATGTACCTGGATTTTCTAATAAAAAGATCTCACTTCAAAACACTATTTACTACAATTAACAAACATATCCAATTTCTCAGGTTAAAAATTTCTTTAAGTATCAAGAGTGAGCTGACTGTAACACTTAAATTTACATTTTAAATAAGTTTACTTCTTTAATCACATGTATACCAAAACTCATTTTGAATAAAAATAAAATGTACTAAAATGATACTTTTTGTTTTTTTGAGTTACTATATATGTGAAGAAACTCATTAAAGAAATAAGAAGCAGTCTTACAAAATAGAGGTTTATCTCATTTTAAATAGTTCAATGAAGCGAAAAATTCAGATTTTCTAAATGGAAAAATTAAATAGTGCTTATTTACTTTAAAAATGGTATTGAAATTCTATTTATATTCAAAACTCAGAAATTATATTTTAGAAATTACTGTAACCTCTACAAAGATTCTTAAAAAGTAGAAAAAAAAAAAAGTGTCAAGATGATACACCAACGACATGACACTATAAATTAATCCAACAGATTTGCTAATAAACATTTAGAAGGTTATGATATCTAATTTAGGACCAGGACAACAGAACTTACTTTAATGAGATTAGCACCTCCTTTTTCACAACCAATATGATACTTTTTCTCAGGGGTTTGAAAGGCCAGTAACTCTTTTGTTACCCCAAGGTGGCCTTCCAAGATCGTCTCTTCAACACCCGTTTCACCTGTTCTTTTAACATCATCCTGCCAAAGAAAAAATGCCAAATGCCTAACTTATGAAAGGGAGGTCGACATGGAGGGAGACACTAGAATAAGAGAGGGCTGGACTGACATGAGGATTTTCCCAAACCTATCTATTCTGCAAGTTTAAGTTCTCTTTAGAACTTCCTAGAAGTATGCTTTACAAACTACTAGAAGAAATGCTAATCCGAAAGCTAAAAGCTACAAATCTCTTCAGAAATATATTCTCATACAAGTCTAAGAGTATCAGGTGTTAAGATCAAGAGTTAAATTAAGTGCTAGTATATTAGACTGATTTTTGATGAAAACAATTCAAGAATGCTTTTTAAAAGATGAAAATTTACGAAAAGCCTGAAGATTCTAAAATGAAAGAAGCTAAAAATCAGTATTCCAAGACTCAAGTAAAACAGAGCATTTTACAAAACTAGTTATGCATTTATTCTGTGAATCATGAGTTACTAATATTTACTTCGGTCCTTTTTTATTACTCTTGGGTATTTTTCATTTAACCAAAACGCTCAAAACTATAAACTATCCATCAATAAAACACCCTATTTATTGATATGGTAACCATAGTATTAAATGCAACTTACCCTAATTCTTTTAAGCCAATCAATTTCATTATTGAGAAGAACTTCAGCATTGGGTATATTAATATTACTATTGTAAGCATAATTAAGAAGGTGCCTTAAAAGAGTGAAGTAGTCGCCTGAATGTTTAGCTCTCTCTCTGGCTGTGCTCTGAAATAATAAAGTAGAATAATAAGAATTTACATGTCCATGCTTAAAATCTACTTTTTAAAAACTAGAATAGATGACTAAAAGTATGGGAAATCACTAATATTTTATTTATTAAATAAATATAGACTGCTCTAATTTTATGTTTTTAGGTAAGAAAATATTTATGATTACACTGAAAATGACAAATACAACAAAATTCAGAAAAATAAAATTTAGACATACCCCAACTTTATTTGTCCATAAAAAAATTATTTCCACAACAACAAAAAACTACCAAAATAGCTAGTGGTCTCGGGATACAATGACCTATTCTAGTCCTTATTTTCTGAAGTTATGGGTGCTACATTGATTTCCCCTCCTTTTTTTTTTATTGAGGTAACATTGGTTTATAATATCATATAAATTTTAGGTGTACATTATATTTAGATTTCTGTGTAGACTACATCATGTTCACCACCCAAAGACTAATTACCATCCATCACCATACACATGTGCCTTGTCACCTCTTTCACCCTCCTCCCTCCCTCCCTCTCCTTAGACTACTCTAACTTTTTAATATAAGCTAAAACCATAAATTCCTGAATGTTCCTTGTTTAAAGAATGAGTTACACTGATAAGCAAATTAAAAGATGTCTCACCCCCAAAACGGTAAAGAGCAGAGTAATGAAGAAAAGTAGAGGCCTGTGTCCCATGCAACATCTGGTGCACATTAAAAAGAACTGCTCCTGTGCCACCTGGCGAACAGTTCTGAAATAAAAATGTTTCACATTTAATATATTATTTTCATGAGGAAAAAAAAGATTCCAACACTTGTCTCTCTTGGGGTGGGTGGGGATAGGGAGTAGGTAAATTAAAAGCAAAAATACAAGGTAACAATCCCATAAGCCAGCAACACATAATAGAGGAACTTAGGCTCTATGTCAAGAACTATAACCTCAAATTGCCACTGAAGAGTTTGAGGGATACCTTCTAACACCCCTTTCTTGGAACAGGCTGGGAATGCTTCTCTAGACACAAGATGCTCTACGGTGAGCATTATGCATCTTTTCTGCCTTCCACAGAATTTTTATTCAATTGTGCTTTGAGGAAAACTCCTCTATAGGAATTCTGTTGCAATTACAAAATAAGGATATTGCTGCATATGTCCCTTATATTATACTAGTGGTTCCCAAAGCATGATCCCCAGACCAGCATCAGCATCATCTGGGAACTTGTTAAAAATACAAATTCTGGGCTGGCCCCGTGGCTTAGCGGTTGGGTGCGCGCGTTCCGCTGCGGGCGGCCCGGGTTCGATCCCAGGAGCACACCGACGCACCGCTTCTCCGGCCATGCTGAGGCCACGTCCCACATACAGCAACTAGAAGGATGTGCAGCTATGACATACAACTATCTACTGGGGCTTTGGGGGAAAAAGTAAATAAATAAATAAAAACGATGACATCCTTAAAAAAAAAAACACAAATTCTCAGGCCCTATCCCAGACGTGCTGAATCAGAAACACTGAGTGGGCCCCAGCATCCTGTACTTTAATAAATCCTTCAGGTGATTCTAATGTGCACTAAACATGAGAACCACTGTATTATACAATATTTTCTCTATGATGACCCATGGGAAAAACCTGTCTCTGGTCCCAGTACTGGGAATTTTACCTGATCATTATGGATCTTAAATACACTATATAGATCTCACTAGAATAAACACTCCAAGATGGCAGAGACATCATCTAATTAGTTTACCACCGTGCCTCCAGAACCTAGAATAGTGTCTGGCATATAACAGGTGCCAAGAACCAGTTAACAAATGTATAAACACTGTTTGTTTACAAGATGGTGGTCTGTCTCCATCAGAACGTAAGCTCTTTCAGGGCAGGGCTCTGCTTTATTGATGCCAGAGTTCCTGGCACCTAGAACAATGTCTGACATAGAGAAGATGCTCAACAAGTATCTGCTGACTTAAGCATTTGTATATCTTACAGATATTACAAACTACATTTCGTGGATAACTGTTTCTATCTTTGTGCTAGCTGACAGAGAGCTTAGAACCAAATTTATAGCTCAATGTAAAGGACTTGACAGCATACCTTCTCTGTACTAACTTCCTCCTGGATATTTTTCAGGTTTCTGAAACCCGTACAGGGTCCTATAAACCAGAGGGACTTTAGAAGCTGTGGGCTGAGTTTGGTGGAATCCAAGAAAATTGAAGTATGGAGTACCTAATTTTCTGGGGATAAAGTCCATAACTTTTATCAGATTTTCAAAGGTATATGTCATTCATGCTTCCCTAGTTTATTTTTTAAAAAGTTAGGTATGTAGCCCCAATAGAACAGGGGTCTATAAAGAGCTGGTGCTTTTCAGTTCCTGATGGAAACCTCCCTCACGCATGTAGATTTGTATGCTTCAAATGAAACACGTGTCTGTGTCTATCAACAAATCCTGTTGCCTCTATCTTCACAAAATACTCAAAATCTGATCATTTCTTACCACTTCTACTACTGCCATACTTCCAGCCTCTGTCATCTTTTATTTGGATTAATGAAATAGTCTGCTTTTCCTGCCACTCTATAACTTATTCTGAACAAAGTACCCAGAATAAACTTAAAATGTTTACTCAGAGCACATCATTCCTCTGCTCAAAACCCTCCTGTGGATTCCCATCTTACTTAGGGTAAAAGTCAATGTCCTTACAATGATGCATAAAATCCTTACACGCCACTTGTTACTTCTCTGAGCTCACCTCCTACAACTGCCCCCCTACCCCCAACTCTGCTCCAGCCACACTGGTCTCCCTGCTGTTCTTTAACAAGTCAGGCATGTTCCTGCCTTGGGACATTTACACCTGTTGTTCCTTCTGCTTAAAACATACTTCCCCCGTTCTCTACATGAATCACTACCATACTCTGATTTCAGAGTTTTGTTTAAAGGTCACTTTCTTAGTGACCTTCTCTGACTACCCTATATAAAACTGAATTCCACTGAGCCTCCACTCCTTATCCTCTTTGCTGCTTTATTTCTCTCTATAGTACTTATTACTACCTAATACACAATATGTTTTCCTGTGTGTGTTCCCTTCCGACTCCTCATCCCCTTTAGTACATAGACTCTGATAAGGCTGAAATTTTGTCTATTTTATTTACTTGTTATATTCCCAGTAGCTAGAATAGAGCCTGGTACATAATAGGTACTTGATAAATTATTTACCAACGACACTGCCTACCATACTAAAATCTAACACCACTTAGATCTCAGCATCAAAGGCCTTCTGTAAACTGACTCCTACTAATCTCCTTTACAGTATTATCCTTTACTCCTCTTCTACACATCAAACCAGGCTACTTAGCTCTGTCCTGAAAGCATTATGCCAAGAGTGGCAAACTCAATTGCCTCCATGGATCAGAGAAGTAATACAAAGGAGTTAAATAGGCAGGGTATAAAGCAACAGGTGCTGGAAAAAACATATCCACCTAAAGGAATTCAAATCCAATTGTGTGATTATAATAAAATAAGGTCAGTGTTATGATGTGAAAACAGACCTTATCTAATAGCAACACAGGTCTGGGAAACCTTCTGAGTATAGGGATAAGGAAAACAATGGAAAATGTGGCATTTAAGTTGAAACTTACGAGTAGAAGCAAGAGCTAAATTATGTAGAAGCAACTGCCAAATCAGAGTGCTTATAAACCGAATTTAAATGTTTAGACTTAATTTAAAGGCAATGGGAAGACACGGAAAGATTAAGCAGGAAAACAACATAATCATATTTTGCAAAGATCACCCTGTCTGCAGTGTGGTCCACAGATTAGTGTAACACCTTAGTGGTGCGACACTAGGGGTGGGAAGATTAAGGATACTGTAGTTGTCCAGGCAATGGGTGCTGGTTGTTTAGACAAGGGTAGAAGTAGCGAGGAGGAAAGTGTGAGGAGTCCAAAAATACGGGAAGTAAAAATAACATAACGGGGAATGAGGGTGAGAGAGAGAGCACCACTAATGTCCATCTTTGATTTTTACGCACATATAAACCTTACCCAAACATGAGCTCACATGTTACATTCTGCATAGAACCTTCACTTCTGCTCCTTCCAGGTAGAAAGTAACTTATTCCTCTTCCGATTTCCAAACTACTTTGCCTTTTATGACACTAAATTCTGTCTTCAAGTTCCTTGATTGCAGGAACTATCTTATCTGACTTTGGACTTTCATTGCCAAGCACATTGTAAGAACTCATAGAATTTGCTGGTGGATTATAATTACACAGAGTCAGACTGTGTGTGTGGCAGAAATAAGTTAGAATTCAAGAGATATGACCTTGTCATTTAACTTCAGTCTTAGTCCCTCCATCAGCAAAGTCTACTTCTGAGTTGCTATAGAATTAAGTGAGAAAATATACGCGGGAAACGCTTTGTAAATAGCTATACTGGTTAGTAATATGATTACTCAAGTATAAACCATACCTGAAGGGCAGCCTCATGTATACAGGTCCACAATCCCTATCTGAAACCCTTGGGGCCAGATGTGTTTGGGGATTCAGATGTTTTTTTTTTTTTTGTGAGGAAGATCAGCCCTGAGCTACCATCCATGCCAATCCTCCTCTTTTTGCTGAGGAAGACTGGCCCTGGGCTAGCATCTGTGCCTCTCTTCCTCTAATACTTTATACGGGACGCCGCCACAGCATGGCCTGACAAGTGGCGCGTCGGTGTGCGCCCAGGATCCGAACCCGGGCCGCCAGCAGCGGAGGACGCACACTTAACTGCTACGCCACGGGACCCGCCCCCGGGGATTCAGATTTTAGAAAAGTAATGCTAACAATGTTCAGGTCAGGTTACAAAATGATTGAAAACTACAGGGCAGGGTGAGGGTCAGTACCAGAGAAGAAAAGCCGATCTAAAGCTCAAAAAGATCTTAAGCTTAGAAGACCCCCTTTGTTGTTGAAGACAAGATAACAGAGGCATAATGAGATAAAGTGCTGTGTACAGTACTTTACTTCATTGTGTGCCAAGTTTCAGGGAGGAGAGGAGTGAAATGGTTCTAACTTCCTATAAGGAGAATTTTCATAAAGGGTAGAGGGAACCTGTTAAACCAAGTTCCTTAATACGGAGTAGCCAAGGAAGTGAAATAAGTAATAAATAATAGTTAATAATTTAGTTTAAGATTAAAAAAAAAAATCAACATAAAATAAGAAATCTGCTACCTCCAGGTTTGATTTCATTAAAACTGTTGGCTAATCATCTTTCCTCTCCTCCCTCCACCTAGTGCTTTATTAAATGGAACTAGACTTAGTCAACCATTTATCTTTCTTAACATATATAGGGGTCCAATGACGATAGTCTTCCCAAGGAGATAGCAAGCTTAACCTTTTTTCGGGGGATCCTGTCAAAGGACTTTCTGAATAGGCTGGACTAGATGTCTTTAAGGAAATTACCAAGGAACTTCTAAAATAATAGACATTCCCACTTGAGACCCACTAAATCACTTTACAGCATCCTCTGAAGTTATCGAGTTGAACATACTCCATTATATTATGTACATTTTTTTAAAAAAAGCTTTATTTATCACTAGGCTTCATTTCAGCAAATTACTTATTTTGACTTTACACTAGCTTCTCATCAGTGATTCATCACATTCATGGCATGTGATTCATCAGTGATTCATGGCATGTGACAGAAAAAACAAAGTGAACATTTTCTGTGTCTTTTCACAAAATGTATATAAGACAGATTAATTATGTATAACAGTGACACTAATTAGAGCTCGAGTTGAAAGTTATCTTATGAAGGTCAGGATTAGATTGATATAAGGGGATGGAAATCAATATTTTCTACAAACCTGATTGACTTGAACAAAAAGCAACCCGAAACAAAATTAATGTCATTGATTATATGCTCTTGAATTGAAAATGAGGGCTTTATAGTTGGTCTTCACTTCTCAGTATAAAACGTACAGTTCTTACCATAATTCTGCCTTGTGAATTTCATATTGAATTAACAACTTCACACACACAGAAAAAACCCTGGCCATCTAGCTATCCAGATTGGGGGCTAATGTCCTATTTAATTTAAATCTTGTAAACCAGATTTAAAAAATGTGCTAAAATATATACACTTCTTAGGAGAAACTCAATTCTGAAATTAAAGAAAAATTAATTTTACTTTCAGAATTAACGTTGGCATTTTGCAGAGACTAAAAACAAATTTAGGTCTAGGCAAAACATGTTTAAATAAAATTTTCCTAAACAATGTGCTATAGAGACAATAAATATTTGATTTCCGGGATAAATTTTGCGAGCATAAATTAATTCATTTCTGCTTACAAAAATAAGATCAAATTTCTTACAATTAAAAAAGATACTTACTTGCTGTGACAGTGTAACAGTAAGTCAATAATGAATGTCTGCCAAGCCTTTTCTTTACTAAGAGCATCTAAGGCTGTTGGAATCAAGGCAAAACATAACGTCATCACTTCCAATGCTTCACAGCAAACCTGTTCATCTTCCAAGTCTGGCTCATTGCCTGCATTGGTCTGTAAAATTATAGTCAGGGGCAAATTACCTAGAGATGCATTTAAGAAAAAATCTCATACAACTTCAAGTTAGTGCTTAAAACTTACCTACTCATTTAAACCATTTGGCCTCAGCCTCTACCTGCAACTCTTGAGGCCCCGTTGGAATAGTATAGAAATGACTATAATAGCCCATGAAGTCTAATTTCAGTATTTTGCTATGTCCCAAAGAGGGCCAATGGAACACACTGAGCATATCACCAGCTTCTTTGTGCTTCAGGCTCCTGGAGACCTTCTGAACCAACAATCATTCCTTTCTCAAGAAGCACTGTGCCACTGCAATTAGGTATTTCTGACTAGGTTCTATTATGTAAGCTAACCTATAGTATCGTTTTATTTGAAAGCAATTGTCTGGGACAATTGTTCAGGAAGGTTTTGAAGGTTTTACAACCTAAAATATACTTGGGTAGGTAGCTAATAAATTCTAATCTTACTTTATCAAAAATAATTACAGTACATGCCTGAAAATGAAGAGGCATTCAAATATTAGCTGAATGAATACCCAGCACTATACCAGACAAATACTATAGGACACCAATATATCCCGGGCAAATCAGGGTTATGTTGGCCATAAGAGGGAAGCTCTACTAAGCTGTAAAAGTGCCTATAACTTAACTTCCTCTTCTAAATATGCAGCAGTGGCTATCAGGGGCAGGTACAAATGACAAGAAACCAGAGTCAAACACAGCCTCTCTTCTGTAAATCATTTGCTTAATCTAACGGAAGGTCAGGGATGATACCTAATTGGCTAACATTCTTTCTACTTTTGATTGCTTTAAGAGAATCAAAAATACTTAAACCCCATCATACCACAACTGATAGTTACCTAAACCAAAATTTACACAGGACAGAAAGATTAGGAAAGAAGAAGAAAGAGAATGGGAGAAAGCAAATTCAGTATGAGACAATTATATCTGATTCCAGTGAGAAACAGAAAAAGACTGTTGTATATTAAAATAAAAAAAAAAGAGCCTCATGGCAGGGTTCTGAAGTACTTTATTTTCAAAGTAAAATTTTACTGTATTCTCAATTATAGCTACCAGTTTTCAACCATTAAGATGCAAATGATTGGATTTTTAAAGATAGCAGACATAATAATTCAGCCTCACGTACAATTAAACATTTATTTAAAAGGAATATATTTCTGTAGTAATTCTTACCTTCTCATAAATTTTAGTGATTTCTTCATTTGGACTAAATACTAGCTGTAATGCCCCACATCCTGATGCCCAGGTAATTTTTTGTATAGCTCTAATTACACAAATATCAGGCATATATCTTGAAGCCTGCAAGATAATGAGTAATTAAAACTGTTGATAGAGTATGAGAGTGGAATAATCACTAGAAAAGCAAAAATGTTTTTCCTCGTAAAGGAAACAGGAATGGCTGTGAAGTACTACCACTGTCTTTAGGTCCCCAAGTTGCCTTTGTCCCATTTTCTTGTTTAACAGCAACACCAAAAAGTATGCTCTCCAAGTTATTATCTGGCTCTATATAGTAGTACCCCCCTTATCTGCGGTTTCAGTTACCTGTAGTCAACCGTGGGTCCGAAAATAGTAAATGGAAGATTCCAGAAATAAACAATTCGTAAGTTTTAAATTGTGCACCATCTTGAGTAGTGTGATGAAATCTCTTGCCTTCCTGCCCAGGACGTGAAACATCCCTTTGCCCAGCGTATCCATGCTGTTTATGTCACCCGCCCATTAGCAGCTTAGTAGCAGTCTCAGTTATCAGATTGACTGTCTCAGTATCACAGTGCTTGTGTTCAAGTAACCTTTATTTTACTTGATAACAGCCCCCAAGTGCAAGAGTAGTGATGTTGGCAATTCGAATATGCCAAAGAGAAGCTACTGTTGTTAATCTTTTACTGTGCCTAATTTATAAATTAAACTTCATCATAGGTATGTACGTATGGGAAAAAACATAGTATACATAGGGTTTGGTACTATCCAAGGTTTCAGGCATCCACTGGGGGTCTTGGAACGTAACCCCTGAAGATAAGGGGGCACTACTGTACTACTTTCAGAAGACTCTTAAAAAGACTACAAAGGTGATCCAACCATTCCACTCCTAGTTTTTTTTACCCAAGAGAAATAAAAAATCTATGTCCACACAAACACCTGAACAGAATGTTCACAGCAGCTTTGTTCACAGCAGCTTTATTCACAGCTAAAAAGGGGAAACAATCCAAATGTCCTTCATCAACTATACGGATAAATACAATGTGGAATATTCATAATGGGATACTACTCAGCAATAAAAAGGAATGGACCAATGGTCCACACAACACAGATAATTCTCAGCCATTATTCTGAGTTAGAGAAGCCAGACATAAAAGAACACACACTCGTATAAAATTCTAAAAAATGAAAACTACTATATAGTGACAAAAGATCAGTGGTTACCTGGGGCCAGGGGTAGAGGGAAAAATGGACTGTAAAGGGGCGTACGGAAACAGTGATGGAAATGTCTTGTATCTTGATTGTGTCAGTGGTTCCACGCATATATGCATTTGTCAAAAGTCATTGAATTATATACTTTAAAATGATGCTGTTTATTGTACATAAAGATGATCAAAATCAGAAAATATTAATATGAGATAAAATTCATGTTACAGGAATTTTATCTAGACTGAGACAGTGATTAAAGTTGAGTGGGCCTAGGAAAATCAAGCACCAAATTGTGATAAGGGCTCCTTCTAAATTAAACAGAGGATCAAAAGTAGAAAATGAACCTTCCAGGATTTCAAAGGTTTAACACTAACCTCATCAGATATTTGCTGAGCAAGACGAATTGATACATTTCTAAGCATGCATTCAGAAGATGGATTAGGAATGCTCTGAAGGGCACTTTGTAGCACCACTGCTTGATCATGAGTAACTTGGTTGACCTGAAAAAAGACAACCATTTTACTTGGAGTAAATAATTTGTACATAACCAGACCCAACCATTTACTCCTCCCCCATCACCACTCCCTCAAGATGACCTCCTTCCATACTGTAGAACCCATGGTGACTTACAAAAAAAGCACTTGACATCGCCAACAAGAGGCTTCCTCTTTTTCTTGTGCATTGGAATGCCACATTATCCCTGTGCAAACCCCCATTCTACATCAATCCAATTGGTGTCTCTACATCTGGGATCACCATAACTTGTAGGGGTAAAGGATAAACTGAACCAACTGGTTCCAACCCTATCTAGAGATTCAGTAAAGTATTCCACATCTTTTATATGCATGCTCCTGGGCAGAACCTGCTCCCATTCCCTCTAGTCATGAAATTCTTTGAAAAGGAGAAAAATTAAGGAATATCAGTAACAGAATGAAAGCAGTAATGTATGAAAAGTACCAGTATTTTACGTAATAGTATAACCAAGTTTTTAAATCCATAAGAAAAAACAAATTACTTTTAAGTGGTTATTAGCCAGGCAATTCAGACCACCTTTCAAATTCTAACTCCTCTTCTCTATAGTGTAAGAATTTCTACAATAGTATTTAAGACATGTCTGTTTTACTAATTTTGCCTTTAGCTCCCTACTGACTGTGTGGCTCCTTGAGATTAGAAGCTGTTATGTACCTTTGTATCTAGAGGCACATTTTCTGAATAAACTGGAGAAAAGTGAAAGAGGAAAGCATGTAATTGTTTTCTGTGTGCTTCATTAAGCACCTGTGTCAAGGATCATGCTAAAAATCTGTTTTTATCTTAAAAAGAACCACTTTTCTTATCCTAACAAACATGGGACCCTCAATACAAAACAATGTAAGACTTAGGCCATCTTTTCCTTTATCCTTTTTAACAGAAAATTTCTAACATATTTGAAAGTGGAGAGAATAGTATTATGAATTCCCACGCACACATTGCCCAGCATCAACTATTATGAACACAGGACCAAAACTGTTTTATCTAACCTCTCTCCCTCACCTTCCATCACCTCTCCACCCCAGGATTACTTTGAAGCAAATCCTAGACTATCACATTATTTCATCTGCAAATATTTTAACATTTTTTTAAAAAGCAGGGGAGGCTCCTCCTTTTAAACATAACCAGAGTATCATTATCACACCTAAAACTACTATAAGTGCTATTATCACAAATATATGTTGGAATTTTTTCATTATTACGGAATAATATTGAATATTACAGAATAATATCATGAACACTCCAAACTCCCGAAGATCTAAGTCATTTCTAAAAAAGAAAATCTATATTCCTGAAGCTTTTATCTTCTATCCGTAACTTGGTAAACTATCACTTATGTTGCATATAAAAGAATTCAAATTTTAGTCAGAATTAAATGCTTAGGGCCGGCCCGGTGGCTTAGCGGTTAAGTGCGTGTGCTCCACTACTGGCGGCCCAGGGTTCGGATCCTGGGCGCGCACCAACGCACCGCCTCTCTGGCCATGCTGAGGCCACATCCCACATACAGCAACTAGAAGGATGTGCAACTATGACATGCAACTATCTACTGGGGCTTTGGGGGGAAAAAAGGAGGAGGATTGGCAATAGATGTTAGCTCAGAGCCGGTCTTCCTCAGCAAAAAGAGGACGATTAGCACGGATGTTAGCTCAGGGCTGATCTCCCTCACACACGCAAAAAAAGAATTAAATGCCTAGCTTGACCTCTCATAAATAGGCATTGAATTCTGGCTTTGGTGAAATGGATCAAAGATGCCACCAAGGCAAAGACGGAGTCAGAATAAGCTCAGAACTGGAGTTTAAGCCTGTCGAGGTGGGAAGAGAGGCTGGCAACAGGCTAAATCAATTATATCTTTATTACCACTTGTGTCTTTATCTATCTGCCAAGTATGAGTTAATAAGAGATTGATTTGGAATTTTTATTAGGTTTAAAATAATTAAAAGTCAAACAGGATTTAAGGGGGCCGTGGGGAACTGTCCTCTCAAATTACAGTGTAATCAGTGAAAAGCATTTGCACTTTTAATACAAATATAATTTAATAGAAAAAAACCTCTAAAATGAGGTGCCACTGGAATGGAACTTGAAACATTTTGAATCAACTTTGAACTCTATACTTAAGAGTTGCTGAGTTTAACTTTAAAAATTACCATCTATTACTATAAAAAGATTTTTAAAACGTCTGTATTACCGATGACATGGGATTCAGGCCTTCTACACCTGGCTGACAAGCTTCTGCTACAGCTCGAACGTGGCCATAGCCAATGGCAGTGAGCAACAGTTTGGCTATTTTAAGAGCATTGAGGTAGGCACCCCTTCGAGTTTCCATATCTGCATTTGGTAGGAAGTTATTTCTGGTTAGCATACTCAGGACAAGGGGTAGGCCACCACTTTTTAAGAAATGAAATTGAAAATCAGAGGAATCATCAGCCAGAGGTGCACCAGCAGGCATTAACAAGGCATAGACTACCTGGAAAAAAAAGGAGAAGGATTGTATTAAAAAGTTCTAAAAAGATAACTTCTATTTTCCCTATCACCATTGCTAAGACATTCTTGACCATTTCAAAAATATGTCATTACAATTTTATCCATGTTCTTCATACTACCATATAAAAGGTCAAATTTAAAGACTATGAAATAAATTTAAAAGGAAAAAACCAACCTCTGTTAGGTATAGCACTTGTGAGGCTGAAGGACCAAAGAAAAGTGAGTCAAGAGATGGACTAAGGCTGCTTTCTCCAAGTTTGGCGTGGTCTAAACAAATAGCTCTTAATTTTTCTATTGTTGTGCTATCTGTAAGAAAAAAAAGACAGTCTTTTTAAAACAAAACATAATTCATGCATTCCTAATATTTCGCTTTTGATATTCTGAACACTACTTTAGCACGGAATAACAATCAATTCAGTTGAGTTAAAGGCTCCAACTTCATAAGACATAACCAGATCTGGATTTAAGAAAAATCGAAATCAAAATCAACCAGGGCTCCTTAATCAGTCAACCCAAACAGAAAGGAAGCAGTCTCCTCTACTCAGGGACCTCAAACAAACATGCTCTCCTCAGCCAATGGAGACAGAAAAAATACAATACACTTCAAAAGGAAGTAGTTCTTATAGAAAATAACAAAATAGAAAAAATGACAAGCTCTTCTCTCCAACTTCTCTATTGTTCGCTTCCATGACACTATGCATTAACTGGTTTGTTCTACTCAAAGAGGCAATGGAACCTTAAAAAGCAAAAAAAAAGAAGGAAAGAAAGAAAAGGGATAGTGTCTAATGTTCACCAAGGAGTAAGCATAGCTTTGATTTTTTGGGTCATAATATTAAAAGATGAGTTTCTTTTATTTATTTTATTTTTATTGATTGATTGATTGATTCCCCCCCCCAAAGCCCCAGTGGATAGTTGTATGTCATAGCTGCACATCCTTCCAGTTGCTGTATGTGGGACGCAGCCTCAGCATGGCCAGAGAAGCAGTGTGTTGGTGTGTGCCCGGGATCTGAACCCTTAACCACTAAGCCACGCGGCCAGCCCAAGATGAGTTTCTTTTAAATCACAGTGAAAAGACACAGTAAAAAAAGATAATCCCATGATACAATTAAGCATTAGCTACCACTCAAACTTAAGAATAGTCGATCGACTTTAGAAAGTACTTTTATAATCAAATTATTTCTATGGTAAATGCCCTATGATTAAAATGCCACTTGATAAAGAAGAATTTTTTTTTAAGTAAAAGCTTTTTTTGGAGAATAAAATAAAGATAACTGAAAATTACTATAAATTTTCTTAGCGTGAGCTAATTTTTACAGGCCTGGAAATATTGTATCAAAAAATCTTCAACTTGTGTTAAAATTGCTGGTTTTCCCTATTCTGAAGGCACAGTGAAATATAACTAAATGAAATATTAAGTTTTTATAATATAACATTTGTGAATATCTTCTCAGGTCATTAAATATTTATCCCCTATATCATTTTTTTTTTCTTTTGGCAGGGAATGATTCACCCTGAGCTAACACCTGTTGCCAATCTTCCCCCCGTTTTCTCATTTTTAATTAATGATTAAAATGACATTATATCATTTTACCAGTATACCAAGTTTAATGTCTATTATTGGGCATTTAGGCTTTTTCCAAATTTTTTTTTGTTTTTTTTTGTGTGTGAGGAAGATGGGCTCTGAGCTAACATCTATTGCCAATCCTCCTCCTTTTTTTCCCCCCCAAAGCCCCAGTAGATAGTTATGTCATAATTGCACATCCTTCTAGTTGCTGTGTGGGACGCGGCCTCAGCATGGCCAGAGAAGCGGTGCATCAGTGCGCGCCCGGGGTTCCGAACCCGGGCCGCTAGTAGCAGAGCTCGAGCACTTAACCGCTACGCCACGGGGCCGGCCCTCCAATTTGTTATAATACTTAAAGATCCTAGCAGCTAAATCTTTACAATTATTTTATCTGGAAAAAATCCTGAAAGCACAAAGAACTACATGATCCAAGAGTTCTGACAAATATCACCAAATTACTCTCTAAAAACAAAATAATTCTCATGCTATATTTGAGAATGTCTTGCTTGGTTTAAAAATATTCTGAGTGAAGGATGGAGGCAAAAGGGAGTAGGAGAAAAGAAACAAGAGCTCTAAGAAAAGGAAGCAGTGAATTCTAAGCAAATCATTTAATGTTGTTGGATTATAGTTCATTCACCTGAGGGAGCTGACCAAATGATCACTAGCAGCCATTCCACCTTTAGCCTTCATGAACCTAAATGATTTTAGGTCCCTGATTATACACATGCTCATTTTACAAAATATGGAAAACAGAGAAAAATTTAAACCACTCATAATCCTGTCATCCAGATATAGTTAAGATTTTAGTTTATTCCTTTCTAGTCTTTTTAAAAGATATTTTAGGCTAATCAGTTATATGATTATAGCAGTCTATTATTAAAAGTACAGAAAACGATGAACAGTAACACACAGGTTAACAGTACAAACTTTGAAGCCCAACTGCATGCATTTGAATCCTAGAACTGCCGTTTAAGCTGTGTGTCCTGAGTCAAGTAACCTCATCTCTCGGTTCCTCAGTTTCCCCATCTTTTTTTTTTTTTATAATTTTATTTATTTATTTTTCCCCCAAAGCCCCAGTAGATAGTTGTATGTCACAGCTGCACATCCTTC